AAAACATTTTTTACAAATAAAAGGGGTCGTCTAATAAAAAGTTAACTCTATATGGAAAATAAAATTTATGTATGTTCACAATGTAATCTCAACCGGGATGAAACGTGTACCCTTTTATAGCAGAATGTCCAATTTAAAAAAAGATACGTCAATTTTGGTCTAAATGAATATGAGTTTTTTTGAATTTTTAAATGGCAAAGATTGGCGGGCACTTGGAAATTATCTTAAAGAGGCGTGGAGTAAAGGGTGGGAATTGATAATGGAGTATAATTATTAAATTTAAGAATTGAGATATCAATACAAAAATTAGAAAAATCTATGTAATTTAAAAAATTTATAAAATATTGTTTGTTAAGTATCTATCAAAGTAAATTATAAAAGAAACAGGTTTGTTTTATGAATTATTAACTGTTTGTAGGAAAAATTCAGATTCTCAGTAGGCTACATTTAAATTTTGTTATTCATTCAATTGATATCTGATCTATTAGTATGTAGTGCTATTTGTGTATGTTCTGTAGTGGAAATCAGTTTATTTTATGAATAATTGTATGTGATTCATGGAATTTTTTAAACTGTTTTAAAATATTTTAAAATCAGTGTGTCTAACACAAAACAGACGGACTTTGACCATTGTTCTTTGCATTTAAATAAAAAACACTGTATTGATATTTTATTACAATTAACACATTTTCTTCTTCTTCCGAAATCTATAATAATTCTTTTTAAATATTTATTCATCTAATAATTCTTTTTGTAGATTATCGTAACGCAAAATGATTAATAAAAGATTGCGTTATTATCCTTACCCGTTTTAAAGTTATAGCTTAATTGCTAAGAGGCTGTAAATTTATCTAAAAAGGGGGTTAGAGGAAAGCACAAGGGGGGAGGAGTGTTGACTTTCGGGAAAATGATAATCTCAACATGGTCTAACAGCATAGGAAAATTCAGCTTTCCCATAGTTACTTACAACATCAAACCTATATTGACTGTGGGCTACGTACCGTCAATGCGCGCCTCGATACTACTACGAATTTTCCACGTTTACTCTTACTGAAATCAACGTAGCTCTGTTGTTTTTGCACATATTTCCTTAAACTTGGTGTTTTTGTACTATTTGTTAGTTTTTCTAACCATAAATCTTCTGTAACATGTCTTAAACGCGTACAATATTTCCGATATTTGATTTTAAAGTAGTTTTAAATTTAAATTTTTGCAATAAAAGTTGATTGAGGCCTAAAGCATAAGAGATAGAAGAAAGGTTGTAATAACCTTTTTGAAGGACAATATATTTAGGCGTTGATAGACGCTTAAACCACCTTTCTATCATTAACCGTTTGTGAGTTAGACGCGGAAACGTAAACCGATGACCCGCGCAACTTCCCCCCCTCCCCCCCGAGTTGTGACCACCCTAGAAATGCGACATCATCGATTTTTTTCATCTACTAGATGTCCCCAACAATAATCAAAAGTTAAATTTTGTCAGACTTTCAGTGCATACTCAACCCGTTTAGCGCCTGGACTAGATGGCTAATATAGATTCTGGCTCAACCATCACTTTAACAGAAGGCAAAAGCCATTTGTGGTCAATGGCTCAGCAGACTGCTGGTCACGAGTGTGGCTTACATGTCCTTGTAAACGCTCGTCTCTTGGCCAGTCAAATTTCCCCTCATGTAATAACTCCCCAGATCCCAAACAATACTAATTCTATTCCATATTCCTTCTCTGATCAACACTTCCATTTGCCAAGCTCCTACAGATTCAGACACCATATGTAACGATTCTCACGCCTATGCCTCTTTGAATGATCCCTCCTGGAAAATTCAGATAAAAAGAAAGAACAAAAGGAAAAGTAAAGCTAAATTTCCGAAACCTTTTGATAGTTCTCCTATTGTTTGTAATAATAGCTTTAGTACTCTTAGTGTTATCTCTGAAAATCTTCCTGACAATGTCATTATTACCTCTTCTGGTTCTTGGCGTGAGAAAAAACGCTACAGTAAGAAAAAAACAAACTCTGAAATCAAGAAAGGGAAAAACCAAAAACATGTTACTGTACCTAGTCTTAGAGATGAATGTTTAATTGAAGTGACAAAGCAAAGCAATTGTAGTAGTTTAGCTGGTAATACTGTCAGTGAAAACACCCGTGCCTCACTCCTGGCTGACAAAGTCTGTTTAGGAACAGAAGGGGACATCAATTGTTTGCTCATTGGAGATTCTTTGTTGCGGTATGCGGGAAACCGTTGTAAGCAGGGTGGGTATTTTGTTAGCGTACATCCTGGTGCCAAGATCAAAGATATAAAACATAAAGTTAAAAGTTTCACTAAACTAAATTCCAAAGTAATTTATTTTCATGTTGGCACCAATAACTTACCAGTTGGTTACAGGGGTGGTCCTGGGTACAACGGTGGCTGCGGTAAGCGCCAGGCTCTCCATAGCATGGCAGATCTGCTATATACCACACGCACCCTTTTTCCCATAGCAAGGTGTTGGTCAATGGGGTGTTATCGAGAGCTGACATCTGCAATGCTGCCCTTGCCTCTATCAACGACCAACTAGAGCTTATGTGGTTTGAGTTTCATTCCTAAGACAGTTCATTTACAGTATCCTATGGAAAATTGTTGTGGTGTTGTCAATGTAAAAGGTAGAAAATTTTGCATATGTGTGGATATGTGACCTAGAGACACCCCTTACACGCATATCGAGCCTTTCCTTTTATCTGTGTTCCATGACATGATTGAGTTTACGGACAATATAATTGTAATGGGTGATCTAAATATAAATCTGCTAGATAATTCACAGCCCGAAAGCTGCTTCTTAATCAAAAAAATCAATGACCTTCATCTACGGCAGCTGGTTGATAAGCCCACGAGAGTCACAAAAACATCGTCCACGCTGATCGATCATATATTGGTGAACAATCAGATTGACTACTCAGGATGTGATGTTATAGACATGTCAGTAATTTATGATAAGCGTGGTGTCCGAGTCTCTGACCATAAATTGACTTTTTGTGACATACCCGTTAAGCATAACAGAACCACTGAAAAGGCAAAATATATCACTTACAGAGACTTTTCAAATTTTAATATAGAGAATATGATTGAGTGTGCTTCCCAGGTTAAATGGAACACAGTCCAAAACATGAGTGATGTAAACAATATATTGAACTTCATAACCACTGCTATTTTAGAAATGTTTAATCGAAATGCCCCATTAGTAACAAAAAGGGTTACTAGAAAGAAAGCACCGTGGAGAAACCAAAATATTATAGATCTCACAAAGCAAAAGAACTTTTGGAAGAAAAAGCTAATGAATTCTAGAAATGACATGGACAAAGATCAATACTGTAGAGCTAGAAATGCTCTAAACAGTGCTATTAGAAGAGCCAAACGAAATTATTTCCAGAGAGAATTAGCAAAATGCTCAAATTCAAAGGATTTTTGGAAAAAATTTAAGATGAGTGGGGAATTAAGGCAAAAAATGCTGAACTCCCATCATTTCTTAGAAATCCAGATGAAATTAATAAGCATTTTTCAATGGTGGGAACTGGCTCTCAATTTCACTTTGAAACTCTTGATTATTACTTAAATAACATTTCTCAGAGTGTAGAAAACACATTTTCTTTTAGAGCAGTAACAGTAAGAGAAGTAAAAGATGCCATAAACAAGATCACCTCTATGGCTGTTGGCATTGATGAGATAACGATCAGCATGATAAAGATGGTAAGTCCGTACTGTATTGAGGCCCTCACGCACCTGTTGAATGTTTCGTTGGCTACGGGGGTGTTTCCGGATGACTGGAAGGAAGCCATTGTCATTCCTCTGGCCAAAGTTGGTGCTCCCTCTTCTTTGGCCGATCTTCGCCCCATCTCTGTGTTACCCGCCCTCTCCAAGGTCTTGGAGACTATTGTTGTCTCTCAGTTGGTTGAGTTCCTGGAGTTGGAGTCAATAATTCCAACAACACAGTCTGGCTTTTGTAAGGGGTACAGTACTTCAACTGCTCTGTTACTGCTTTGTGATGATGTCATAAAAGCTAGAACTGAAAAGAGGTGTACTTCTCTTGCAATGCTGGATTTTTCGCAAGCCTTCAACTCTATTGATCACGATCTACTGTTGGCCATGATGTATCACTACAGATTTGACCAGCAGGTAGTGCCGTGGTTTCACTCCTACTTGAACGGAAGATGCCAAAAGACCAAAGTTGGATCTGAGATCTCCGCCCCCTTGCAAAAGTCCAAAGGAGTCCACAGGGCAGCTGTCTTGGACCTGTCCTGTTTACTTTGTTTGCCGCATCTATGGGAAGAGATTTGCGTCATTGTCGGTTGTATTCATACGCTGATGATGCTCAGCTGGCTTTTCAGAATGACGCTGACCCAGCAAATCAGGCAGTCTCTGATTTCAATTCTGATTTGGATTCTGTCTTTGCATGGTCTATGTCCCATGGCATCAAACTGAACAGAGACAAATGTTCATTGGTGACTTTTTCTGTCAGGAGGGTTGTTCGGTCCGAGCCCCTGTCTCGTGTATGCCTTGATGGAACTCCGCTCAAAGAGTGTAAAGCTCCCAAGCTTGGACTTCATTTTGATCCTGAGCTCTCCTTTTCTGATCATGTGAGTTACGCATGCCAGAGAGCAATAGGTCGTCTGAGAATGCTGTACAGGCATCGTGACTTGTTCCCCAAACCCACCAAATTTAGGCTTGTGCAGGCACTTGTACTGTCTGTGTTTGATTACTGTCTTCCGGTGTATGGTAATGTTATATCACTGGGAGACATGAGTCGGATGCAGAGGGTGCAAAACATGTGTGTCAGGTACGTCTGCGATCTGCGAAAATTTGATCGAATTTCATCAGACCTCACATCTCTTGGCTTATTGCCTATGGCTGACCTGTGCCTTTTACGTACTTCCTGCATCATCCGGAGGGTACTGTCAGAGGAGATACCTCAGTACCTGAGGGAAAGACTGAGAGCTCGCTCTGAGATGTGATCCCGATGCACACGGCAGGATGACATGCTGGAGATGCCCCGTGTGCGCTGTGAGTCCGACCGTTGTGGGTTTTCTTATTTTGCCCCTAAAATCTGGAATATATTGTCATCCAGGACTGAGCCAGGGGTGTTCGACAGTGAAAAGTCGTTTAAAAAATATATAACAAATGTCTTGAAGAATATGGTAAAATAAAAAGGAATAGAGAACATCTTTTAATTTTTAATTAGCCTAACTTAAGATTTGAAAGTTGCCTTTGTTTTATATTATTTATGTTGACGTGAATTGTTTTGAAAAACATATGTTGTAATATGAAAAAGCTCAAGAATAAAGACGATTTTCATTTCATTCACTTATGTAATCTATTGGTTTTAATAAAGTTTATTCAAAGTTTTTGCAATTTTACTTTCTCATTGTCAGATGTTGGGAATTGCAATAATATATTTTTTTATCAACTGCGGAGTAGAAAAGCTTTAATAATTGATAGCTCACTTTTTTTCTAGAATCACATTCTTCGTAGTCCAAAAAGAAGAGTTTTCAGGAGAAACTCGGATGACTGGTTCCTCATCTTCACACGAACATCACTCAGAGACTTGATGTCAATCTACCTGTGGCACGACAACAGTGGGTCTCATCCTGACTGGTTGGTGGTGATACTTACTATAAGCTTACTCTATAAACTCGATTAATTCTTCATACACTTAGAAATCTTCTCAAGACCTTTTTACCAGGCCTTAGTAATCTACTTCAACCCTCCTCCTCCCCCCCCCCCCCCCCCCGAACACAAGGGTTTCAGATGATCAATGGACAATAATTTGTTTTACCTGATTTTCAAAAGGAGCCAGGTGTTCGGCGGTCTTTGTCCTGTGGTGAAGGGGACGGGAAGTTTCTGTTGCAGACTGGCAGTCAGCGGCGATGGCTACGTGGTCCGTTACCATCTTGTTTTTGCAGTGGAAGAGTTTAGCCGCAATAACGAGTCAATTGTTGTTGTGACGTGTGCCTTTTCTCCGCCGTTTAAACATCCCACCTTACGGTAGTGTTCCTAAGCGAAATGCGATATTGAGTTAGGTGCATAATTTCCGCACTTCATGGACGCCTAGACGTCGAACAATAAGGACGCCTGAGAACGTGGAGCGTGTGAGACGCAATGTCTTTACCAGCCCACGTCGATCAACGAGACGTCGTGCTCAAGCTCTTGGTATGCTTGTCGGAGCCTTTAAAGGATTCTTAACAAAGAACTGAAATTCATGGTGGTCCAGAAGATTCTCCCAACAGACCATCTTTGGGGATCTCTGTTCCCTGGCCGTTTTATTTCCTGTAATGGAGATTTCCATTGGTCTCCTCCCTCACCAAACCTCACGGTATGTGGCTTTTTCTTATGGGGCTATTTTAAAGCAAGGGTCCAAACCCCGGACCATTCAGGACTTGAAGGCAGCAATTCACAACAAAATCACATTAATTCCTGGTGATGTGGGCAGGCAATGCGGAACGTTAAGGACCGACTCCAAGAATGCGTCGCTCAAGAAGGAGGGCATTTGATGTATGTAATTTTTAAAAACTAACTTTACTATTTTTTTTATAAACGTCCATTGTAACTACACATTTTTCACTTTTTTTCAATCCAATACTGTACCATTAAAATTGACAGTTTGACAATTATTTTAAAACCACCCGATCCATCTGCGCCACCCTGTACAACCCACAAGGAACTCTCAGTGGGTTTAATGTTAACAAAATACACTTTAAAATCTTGGTTTGCTTTGTTGTTTCTCGGCTAAGAAAATAAACCTAAAGATTTTCAGACACCAAAGAGACTGAGCAGCTCATTGATCTAGCAATGTTCATAAAACAATTGATTTATAGGACCAGTTATACGTATAGTACTTTTGTTAGGTACTCTCTTCAAACCATAATTGAATGCTTAGTCAGTTTATTAAAGAAAGGATTACTTTTGTTCACTAAATACTTTTGTGGTAAAATTTGAAACAAAAGGATTAACTTAAACGGAGAGTAGGATTTGCCACTACTAACCCTGACTATTGTCATATGAATGCATTGATATCCCTGGTTGTTGCAGGTTCTGCCAGAAGGTGGTGGTATATGATGTGCAGAAAGGTACAGAATACACCTTCATCGTAGAACAGTGGCTGAGTGTACGACCAGGAGAATTCACAGAGACCCTGGTAGTCCCTGCTGGCCGGCAGGAAAAGTTTCAGTGGAATAGAGTCATAATGCACAACATCCTGTACAACCTGCGCGAGAAACACTTGTGGCTCAGTATATACATGAGGTAACAGTAGCAGTAGAGCTTGCAAGGTACAGAAGTACGTTTAACTTAATAAAACTATTGTGGTCTTCCACGTATATGATGTGACATGGCTGTACCTTTGACTATTGATTGGACTAGACATTCCACTAGTTTTTTCAATCAAAATTTGCGTACCATAGTTGAATTGAGCCCCCAACAGGCTGATTTAAATTTCTGATGTCTACAACTTTGAATCAAGTCGAACTGACAGGCGACTTTATTGCAAGGTATAGCATCTTTTTTATAGCATCAACTACCTCAGTAAAAAAAAACTGCAGCAGAAAATAGATAAATTTTTTACTGTACCACACTCTATGAATGGCACATCTAACCATGTTCTTTTTGCATAAAAATTTGCAACAATTGGTCCATGTTGATGGGACGTCTAACTCAGTATCCATCATTGATTATACCCTCTGAGAACGACAATAGTGTTATGAGGTAAGAACATAACCTGACCTTTTTCTGGCTTACCCCTTTACAGGGCTCTTTCACTTAGTAACGTGGAGTTAATTAATGATGGATTATGTTTATTATTTTTTTTTCAGTAACAAATTTTCTAACCATAATTATGAAGCTTCCCCAAGAAGAGTATATTTTTGTGATTGATTTATATCTGAGTGAAGTACAGAGGTAGGAGAGTTCTGCTCTATACTTGAGTGCTAGTGTTTCATGACAGTCACTTAGTTTGTGTTACTTAAATTTAGCTTACTACTGCCGTGGCTCTTGGTCCTCTAGGAGGTACTTTGCCTCGCCAACACACTGCCTCCAGACTGCACAATCCACTGCTTCATCCTCCCTTCTTCCCATTCTTCTCAGGTCTCTTCTCACTTGATCTCTCCACCTCAACTTGGGCCTTCCAGTAGGTCTTCTACCCTCGGGATTGTTGTTTAGGGCGTTTCTTACTAAGGATCCCTCTTCCTTTCTTAACACATGGCCTGCCCATCTCAATCTCCTACTTCTCACCTCAGCCACAATATCTGGGTCCCTGTACAACTCTCTCAACTCCCTGTTGTGCTTAACTCTCCATTCTCCATTTCAAAGGTTGGTCCAAAGATTTTCCTTAGAATATTGTTTTTGAACACTATAAGTTGTTTCTCAGTTCTCTTGCTTATCACCCAATTCTCTGAGCCATAAAGTAATACTGGTCTTATTATAGTTTTGTATATACAGATTTTAGTTTTCTGTGAGAGTAGGCGAGAACTCAACAATTTGTGGCATGCCGATAACCTTTTATGAGCTGCATTTAATCTTAGCTGAATTTCAGAGTCTTCTTCATTATTACTCGTCAGCTTTACTCCTAGGTAAGAGAAATTGTTTACTTTATAAAATTTGTGTCCTTCTATTTCTACATGATTTTTATTATTTAATTGGGTAGCTCTTCCACATTCCATTATCTTGGTTTTGTCTACATTGATACTTAAACCAACTTTTTTAGTGTGGTTTATGAGTTTTGAGACCATAACTTTTAGTTCTTCTTCGTTTTTGGCCACAAGTGCCACATCATCTGCAAATGCCAGGGTATTTATGTTGGTTCCCATAGTAATTCCAGCCTCTAGCTTTTGTAATTCTTGTAGAGAGTCTTTCAGAGCTAGGTTGAATAACAACGGGGACAAACCATCTCCTTGTCTCACACCAGTATTTATATCAAAATCCTCTGAGAATTCTCCATTGACTTTAACCTTGCATTTAGATCCTGAAACAGTTGACTTTGATAGATTTATTAACTTTTTAGGTATTCCATACTTTTCCATTACTTTCCAGAGTTTTCTCCTAGTGATCGAGTCGTACGCTTTGGAGAAGTCAATGAAAAGGCAGAGAAAGGATTTGTTGAGTTCATAATATTTGGCAATTGCCTCTTTCAGTATAAAAATTTGATCCGTGGTTGATCTTCCTCTTGTGAAGCCGGCTTGATGGTCTCCTATGATATTTGATGTATATTTCTCTAGTCTTTTTTGTAAAATCTTTGATAGTACTTTATAGGTGCAGTTGAGGAGGGAAATTCCTCTGTAATTGGTGCATTCTTTTTTGTCTCCTTTCTTGTGAATGGGAATGATAACTGCTTCCTTCCACTCATTCGGAATCAATTCGTTGTCCCAAATATCAATGATCAGTTTGTGGATCTCCCTTGCCAGTTCTGTGCCTCCTGCTTTGATTACTTCCGATGGAATAGAGTCCCCCCCTCTAAGGAATTATTTTTTAATTCCTTGATTGACGTTTCTACTTCTTGAATTGTTGGGTATGGTACCATTGGATCTACATTCTGGTACGCTTCCTCCTCCTCTTCTTCTTGTTCAGACTGTCTTACATTCAAAAGATCTTTGAAATGTTCCTCCCATACTTGTAGTCCTTCTTTGTTCTGCACCACCAGTTGTCCTGATTTGTTTTTAATCCCATATGGCATTGGACTGTAACCCTTCCTAAAAAATCTTATTGATCGGTAGAAGTCTCTACTGTTGTTTGCTGTCTTGTCCTGTTCAGCTTTCTCTAAGATTTGGTTTACCCATTCTCTTTTTTTCCTCCGAAGTACCTTTACTGTCTCTCTTGAGATTTTTGTATAGTTTTCTCTATCTCTTTCTTGTTTCTTATTGAGCCAATAAATTTAGCTTACACAATTAAATAATCCTCCTCATTCTAACGTTTTGTTAAACACACAGATGCCACTCTGGTTGGTCTAATCTGACCTGAATGTTCAATTGGATTCTTTAAACTCTGTTCTATTTCCGATTAACACGTTCGCTACTGAGCGTCGCATATATGAGACCATTGCCACAGACCGAGGAATACATTTGAATCTTGCACATAGATCGGCTGTCACTTGGTTAACAGTACACACAGACCACGGGTGAAAACCTGTAAAACAGTGATAATTTACATTGTAATGTGCTACAGTCGTGTTTTTAAATAATTTATTCTTGTTTTTTTGTATTTTTTATAACCTTTTGTAATGTCGCATATTTGCAACGCCCAGTCTACAGCTAAGACAATAGCGAAAATTATCATAGTTTTCTTGAAATAGACCAAACGTCGCATATATGCGATAGCACATTTTTTTGTGTTTTAAGGTAAAAGTAAGTAAAAAAAAAAACAGATTATTCAAGAACAGTTATAACTGAACAAATATAAAAGCTACAGAAGATAATGCAGCATAAATACTGCATACATACATCCAGTGATGCAGAAAAGTAAAGACCAGTTTTTCCAACTATCATATGACGTCACCAATCATCATATCCACAGACCAAGCGACGCAGTTGTGCGTCAGACATCTCTGCATCACATCACTGCAGGGAATTCAGTTCCTTCAAATAGACCGTTACAAAGATATAAGCATTTTAATAACATTAGAACCCCGACGCAAATATCCATCGTCAGTCTATTTTAATGTGACTAGCCGTCGCATATATGCGACGGCAGTCTATGAGTGGAAACCGGCCGTCGCATATGTGCGTCGCTGGTCCATGCAAATGAAAAATTTTGTACTATTGCAGTAGCGAACGTGTTAACTAGACACATGCATTTTTTCTGCTAAGGATTGTGATTGTTTCTCAAAATTTAACGTTTCCACAGTCATCCAAGAGCGACAGTGACAAAAAGTCAACGAGTGACAATTGCATTCTGTGTTTTCTTAATCACTCTTCTGACGGGCATCATGTTCTATGGAGTAGCCAGAGGTAAGAAGTTATCTCTAGATTTCATATTTCAGTCGCCCTTTATAAGTAAAGGGGAGTCAACTAACATGAATTAGCTAAGATAAAAAAGTTATCCCTCAGTTCAAAGTATGTAAGCCAATCATAAACTTATCACATACTATATAGTTGCCACAGGTAATACGATATCTTTACAATTTGGTTTGTGTACAAGAACAAAATTGCAGGATGTATTTTACCTTTTGATTTAGATGTTATATGGACAAGTAAAAATTATTTAAGAGTTTAGTAACTAGACCTGAACGGTTCTTTGAAATAAGCTAATCATTACAATATACGAGTAATTGAAAGGTATAACTATTAAAACGTAGCATCGACCTGATGTTAGAAAGAATCATTGATTAAGCCCAGCGGCAAAAAGGTTAAGAATAAATCCTTCTGTAGATCAAACTGGCAACTTGCATATTTGCGAGTCAATGTTGCAACAAACAGGCTACCCATACACTACATTTCCCAACTGGAATGAAAGATTTTTGCTATTTTCATACTGTTTTTCATACTGTCATAAGTTGTTGTTTTGTAGATGGTGTTGAGAGTGATGCTCCAGAGTACAAGTTTAAAATGAGAGAGTTTATCATTGCTGTGCAAAGTGTGGTCATCTCCACACTTGCCACAGCTCCTGTCGTTATCTGCTTCAGGTGAGATCACACCTCTATATGTTCTGTTTGTTAGTGCTGATCAAACCTTCCAGTTTCTCTAAAGTCTGTTCTTATATGTAGTTTGTATAGAAATGTTGTTTTTAATTACTGGTAACCATTTCATTCACAAAACATTTGCTTTGATACATGTATGTAATGTAAACCAACAGTATTTAACAATATTGATAATTTCAAGTGCTTTGATCTGTGTTATATTGAATGGTGATAGTCTGTTGGCTAAATGTTATTTAAAATATGCTAATGCTTTTATTTCACATAGAAGGCTTTTATTTTATCTTGTAATTACAATCGCTTACTTTTTATCACTATTTAATATTTTCACTACGGTACAACTTTCAGGAGGAGTCAGATAGTTGCACTTCAACAAAGCGTCAAAGAAGAATCATTAATTGAAATTGAGAGTCTAACAGATTTGACCAGAATTCCAACAGCAAAAGGAGGTAAATATTTGTTTTTAAATATATGGTGAAGTTTAACCTTTTCATAGCTTAGAGTAGAGGTGGGAGGTGGGTTATCCAAAAGTCAGATGGAAAAATATATTTACCATCTTTCATTGAACAGGAATAATGGGCAGGCTGTATTTAGAGTCACCTTGTTTCTATCAAGTCCGTTAGAGCAAAAAGATGGATTTCCAAAGAGCCAGAATCAATTTTGAGCTTGGTAATTTCTTTAAGACAGCTTTAGAGCCAGAAGTAATAAGAAAATCAAATGTGTATCAAGAAGTAAAATGTTGTTTATTAGGAAGAAGAACAAACGCTATATGTGCTTTCAGCTTGCTTTAGAAACTTGATGAGCAAAATGGTGAGGGGAAAACCTCTGATCCCGGTAGTGGTTGGTAAAGAAACTGCCAAGTCTGTGATCGTAAGAAGAAGATGGGCAATATGTGGATGGTAAGTCTTTTTACTGTAGGCCTGCCTTAAGTGTGATGCATCTTAAATAATTAATTTAGTGCTTGGAAAGGAAACCCTACCACTAAAAATGTCCATGGAGGAAATCAAGGTGTCCTAAAGGGAATTTACATTAAACGTTAGCACTCGGTAATCTCTGTGAAACATTAAGTAATTTTGGAAATACTTACTTAAAGACTTTTTGAATAATGTGTCTTGTATTCTATGGCTGATATAAATCCTTTGGTTGCCTTGAACCATCACTTCACTATTGATTTACTTTGAATAAGATGTTGGTGATTGAAATGCAAAAATTATATCCATTCAGGCAAAGGCATATGGTCATTTCTTAAAATTTAGTACAAAAATAAACACACCAAATAAAGAAATAAATTCATTTCACCATTAAATCAACCCGGTACACGTTTTGTCAGTAATCACATACAGACACAAGACCTGTACAACGAAAAGACGACAGATTGCTTTGAACAAAACACATCTTGGAGTGTTGTTCCAAACCAGAGCCAAGTAGGTTATGCAGAATCTCTCAAAACTGTCACACTCTACTAGTAGTTTTAGGATGATATTGTTTCCTAAAGGATAATTTGGCAATATAATAATGTCAGTTTGTTCCTTAATCACTTTTACCATTGAAATTCTGGTCATGTGTTTGCAGGGTGATGTCTCAGATGGTTGTGTGGGGCAGTGGATACATGATCATCCTGTATGGACTGAGACTAGGCAGAGTAATCAGTGAACTGTGGCTTACTTCCGCAGGGCTGAGTATCAGTGTTGGAGCACTTTTAAACTCACCTGTCAAAATTATCATTGTTTCAATGATACTGTCCTTGTTTGGGGTAAGTTTAAAATGAGAGTTCATATGTAACACAGTAAAACCCCTTTTAGCCGCAACTTGGTAAACCGAAACACTGTTTAACCAAAACTATGATAACAATTTCATATAAATTTGAAAATTAGCAAGAAAACAGGATTTTTTATGAAGGATAGTTGGCCCAGCTTGGCCTGGGATATTGTATTGCATTGGAGGGATGGAGACATGGTCCCACTTACTAGGTAAGCCTATGCTCAAGTCCTTGACCAGGTCCGGAAGCTTTGCCCAATGTTAGTGCCCAGTTCGTCACCTAGTTGCTTTTGCCCAAATAGGGCACTTTTCCTAGCCCCAAGTCTTTAGTAGTGCTTTGCAGTCTCATCAGACTGGTTTCAAAATCGACACTCCTTGTTGTCATTGATGATTCCTAGAGTTTGAAGGTGAAAGGGCTGAAATACCATCGTGTCTTGACTCTCATCAGACCTACGGGATAACATCTGGCCTTCTTTCAAGGTACTTCTGCCAAGGGTGGAGTGATCTTTGTACTTCTAGATCACTTGGCCACCCTCGTCCCGACATCTGCATTACTTTTGTGAACTTTTTCTAGGAAATGTACAACGTAACAACGTATGAATACAATGCTAACAGACCTTTGAAGGAGGAACTGGTTGGAAATGCAAAGTATCTTGAGAGTCTGCTCAAGTTAAGATCTTCAAGCATGTATAAACCACTGCAGACTGAACAGATTGCTGTAAGTAAAAGATGGGAAGCGTTTCCCATATAGTGTGCCATTTCAGTAGTTTTAATAGTAAAACCTAAAGGACAACCATAATTTCTCTTTTTATGATCCCTAGAGGCCATAAATTCCATTTGTTCACATTTTTGCAAAGTTTATGTACATGTCTGTAGGCAATTTAATCCATTTAAAAAAATTTCAACTTTAAAGATATACCAAATGGATTAACACCTAGTTGTATGAGTTTCTGGACCCAATAAGTTATTGGAGGCAAACTGACCCCTTTCCAGAGTTTACCATCTTAGGGTCAATGTTGAATTTTGTTTTTGGATTGGCAAAGATAGTGGACAACATTTCAGAATATGTTACAGCAAACCATCTTCTCTTCTGGGCAAACTAAAGTTTAACTGAAGCAATTGTAGTTTTAGATGAATTGCAGCTTGCCTCAAAGATGGATTCCTGTAATACATCTGTAACGTTGGCCAATCTTTGCCAGCTTAATAGCCCAGGCATCTCCCAAAAACCATGTATGTCCAGCTACGTTGACAGTCTAGCTACGTTAACCGTGGAAGAGCCTACCGTCAATAACTTAGGACACATTCAATTAATACCGAGTTTATTTGATTTTAGGCTAAAGTGTATGAATTTATTTTCTGAAACAAATTCACTGCTAAGAACTATGTTTGAACTAAAAGACTTTCAATTCTGTAGGAGTACCGCAAGGCAGCGCTGAGGCACCTGAAGATTGTTGAGCGTACAGATTTCCTCTTGTCTGTTGTGTTGCTGTTGACTCTCCTGTACATGAGTGGAAGTCCGGGGGAAGAGAGAGGTTACTACATCACATCCCACATCAGACACAGTCTGGTTGTCAGCCATGGACCACTGGCAGTCCCTCTGGAAAACGTCATCAATATGAAAAAGTATAGTAAATATTTAAATGTCAATTTTATTTTTGATAGTTTTTACTTTGGTGTTAGTTACCAATCATATGGCTGTATAATTCTTTGCAAAGAAAAAGATCTGCAGAATTGTTGGTTCTGATATTATAAAGACAAATTCATTTCTCTATTTCAAGTTGTATTTCTAATTCAAGTTAGTGTTGCTTAAGGGGGTTCCACCCACCGGCTGGTTACCACGTAAACATGGTCCTACAAAAAAAACCTCCGTGGCAGTATTCATGTGTTAATCAAGTTGAAATAAAATGTAAAATATTCACAACAATCCAAACTATGCCCTGGATGAACTGAAACTTCGTAATTGTTTCTTTAAGTATTTACAAAATCGTTTTGAAAATCCGTAAATTAGTCTTTTTACATGTGATTTTAGCTTCTAAATAATAGTTAAACATTAATCCATTGCAATCTCTGATATTTTAAGAGCACAAAAATCACACAATCATTGGAAACAAATTAGTTTTAGAGTGTTGAGAGCTTGTACCGTAGAGGCGTGTTTAGCAGCCATCTTGAATTGACCGGGTAGAACCCTCCTAATATGGGTTGTAGAGTTGCTAACCCACCTAGCAAAGCACAACTGTTTACTACACTCACTGTCTGAGTGTCTGCCCCCACTAGATGTCAGTGTCCCCACTTGGACTTCTAGGAGTTACACCTTCCACCTACCCACATTGTGTTTAATTCATAGTTGGTCCTAAGGAACACAATTCCAAAAAGAGGTTAATGTCGGAATTGATAACTTATCAGTTGTGTAGTTGCCAAAGGCATGACACAAGTTTGATTGGTCTTCTCATGCCAATTTACCCTCCGTGAAAAATATTTTGGCAACAGAGTGAGTTCCAGTTTTGTTCACTAACTCTGTATGTGATATGATATACAAATGCACAAATACACACACAAAGTTGGACATGACATGGTCAAGTAAGAAGAAGCAGGGAACTTGTTTTTAAAAGTAAGAAATAAAGGATTGGGTATGACCACTACTGACTTCTATCTTTGACTATTGCTACAATCAGACATTCCATCTTCATTCAAAGTTCTTGTAAGTTTTTTAATAAAGATCCTCTTAGATGATATGAGCCACCAACAGATTTTGCTGATGTAAAATTACTGATTTCTTTCTTAACACACAAACTTTTCTACCCCCGTCAACCCAATGGACCAACTTTATTGTGAGCTGTTACCTATGACCCATAAACTCCAGCAACAGCAAAAAGCAGATAGAAAATATAATTTTAGTCACTATAGATCATTCTGTGTCAAACATCATGACTGATAAAGAGCTAACTTAACTAGTACATGAATGTTACAGACTTACAGACTATCTAATCAGTAAACTATTTCCTGGTTTATACAAAGAAAAATGGTACAATAAAAGAACCAAACTAACATCACCTGGTGAGTACTATGGTAGTTTTTAATTTTTAAATGAATTAAAATAAATTATATTTTAACTGATTGTTCATCAGCTTTACACAAATCATTATATCAACAGAGTACATACAGTGTGTAAAAAATGTCTCCCCCCCCCTATTTATTTTTTTTATTTTTTAAAATAATGAAATATCGTTTGGGGAGTGATAGTAACATAACGTGAAGTTTCTTTTGACATAGTTAAAATTTTTGAATTCCCCCCCTAAATGGGGGGTAAGGGGGGTAACTCAAAATTTTTAAATGTAAACCCCTAGCTTGTGACACCTCATTTGAAAGAGCATTAAAAAACTAGGTAAATGGTGAAAACTAGAAATTTCTATCTAATTTCTAACCGGAATTACAGCCAAAAACGCTCAAAATTACAATATTTTTGGGAAACTCAAAATTGTAATTATTGCATACACCCTTTGAGTGACCCCTCATTTGAAAGAGCAATAAAAATCAGGCTTATGTTATTAAATTAAAAAACTGTTACTTCCTACAGCCAAAAATTTCTACAGCTAATAAATTATTATTTTAATAAAATCTTTTATTTCTTTATTATTGCAAAAGTGCAAAATAACATCTTTTGAAAAAAAGTGAAAATGAAATGTATTGGTTATCCACAACAGAGCAAGTACAAACTAAAAATTTAAGGTTATTACAATAAGAAATTTTCGTGAACATGAGTTTGTTTCATTAGATGACCTTTGCTCAGCCGGTTTTCCCTGTTTGCCCTGGCATGGGTTTCCTCAACTCATTCTGTCAATGAGCTGTTACAGACAGGTCTAGGTCAGTACTGCAGCATAAATTCAATTTCTATTTAATAATAACAATTATGTAACTATTTGATAACTGTAAAGACTTTTTTGTTCATTAAAATTCTCTAAGGTTAATAATTAATTGTTAGTTTGTTGCTATTTAGTTAGTCAGGTTTTTTAATTTAGTTTCTTTATTCAATAGTTAGTTTTTTGTTAAAAGTTTATTAGAAATTTTTAATAATGGCTCGAAGCAAAGACGATAAGGTGGAAATGGTTTTAACTTTTGGTGCCTCGAATGAAAACTACCACGAGACAGAAAGGAGATTCAACGAAGCACATCCTGATCGACCAGTGTGTCGAAAATATTTGAGGGAACTAATTGGCAAGTTCAGACGAACTGGATCCGTAGCTAATGCTCCAAAATCAGGCCGAACATCTTTAGACGAAGAAACACAATTTGAAGTTGTGGCAGAATTTGTAGAGGATCCTCAGCAGTCGACTCGATCAGTTGCTACACTGTGTGACTTATCCCATCAAACAGTTCGAAATATTTTAAAGAAAAATAAATTTCACGCTTATAAATTTAAACTTGTCCATGCATTAAACGACGATGATCCAGACCGTCGACTTCAATTTTGCGAAGAAATGGAAGAACTAATCAAAGCTAATCCACATTTCGTGTATAATGTAGCTTTTTCAGACGAATGCACTTTTTTTGTTAATGGAACTGTCAATAAACATAACTGCAGATACTGGGATACTGCAAACCCCCATGTTTACCGAGAATCCTCAACGCAGTACCGTACCCAGAAAAATTAAATGTATGGGCTGGGATGTTGGGTAATCATATCCTAGGACCATTTTTCATCGATGGCAACCTCAATGGAGAACATTATTTGCAAATGCTTCAAGAGTCGGTTTTTCCAGCCATAGTGGAAGTTATTGCACAACATCCACATGAGTTTGATGAAGATATTGTTCACTTCCAGCAGGATGGCGCTCCCCCTCATTTTCATCGACAGGTCCGAGCATTTCTAAATACACAACTGAATGGTCAGTGGATTGGCAGGCGTGGCCGGATAGAATGGCCAGCACGGTCCCCCGATCTAACACCTTTGGATTTTTTTCTATGGGGGTTTATTAAATCGACAATTTAAAAACTCCCGTACAGAATATTGAAGACTTGAGACACAGGATTGTTGAAGCCTGCAGAAAAATCACTGAGGAAACATTCCATAACGTGAGGGAAGAGTTCACGTCTCGTTTATTTTACTGTCAGGAAGTAGGAGGACTTCAGTTTGAACATTTGCTGTGAATTTATTTGGTGAACACAACATCGCTACTGTTATTTCGCACTTAAGGTTAGTTTGTTTGTAAAAATCATAAAAAACCATCTAATTACCTGTTAGAAATTATTAATCCTTATCATTGGCCTGATTTTTATTTATCTTTCAAATGAGGGATCACTCAAAGGGTGTATGCAATAATTACATTTTTGAGTTTCCCAAAAATATCGTATTTTGAGCGTTTTTGGCTGTAATTCCGGTTAGAAATTAGATAGAAATTTCTAGTTTTCACCATTTACCTAGTTTTTTAATGCTCTTTCAAATGAGGTGTCACAAGCTAGGGGTTTACATTTAAAAATTTTGAGTTACCCCCCTTACCCCCCATTTAGGGGGGGAATTCAAAATTTTTAACTATGTCAAAAGAAACTTCACGTTATGTTACTATCACTCCCCAAACGATATTTCATTATTTTAAAAAATAAAAAAAATAAATAGGGGGGGGGAGACATTTTTTACACACTGTATGTATTACTGGATATTTTTTTTAATTTGAGGATTCTTTAATTATCAAGTCTAACCATGTGAATTTTATTGAGCTCGCACTGTTTTAAGACGTATCACATTGTTTAATGTGTTTTGTTGGTAAAAATTATGTGATAAAATTGCACTCCGCTTTAATATTGGAGTAACCAATTTTACAACTAAACTCTATCTTTACAGCGGAATCCTTGCCAAAGATGGGCTGGTTTTCAGACACTGTGCATCGTATGGTTGGAATCCCAAGGATGAGACAGCTACGAGTAACCTTTGGTAGGTTTTTAATATTTCTTATGTCAAAGAAATCTTATGGTTATAAGGCACATTCCAAAAACTACAATTTTATTATCATTATACTCAACAATATAGTTGAACCAGAGATTAATCAACCAATTCAACATTCAAAAACCTAGCTTTTTGTCTTTGATAACCTCATGACAAACATTATTTATATATAGTTGGTTTTTATGTTAAAGTCTACAATATGGAACCTGCCTTCTGGATTAAGGCCTGGGCCAGTTCTAGGAAGACGAAGGGGTGAGGAGACATCGTACAGGCTATTTACATATTATTATACATTTTTGGCGTAATTGTACTTTGACTTTTTACAGTTAGTGGTTGTATTTCAGACAACTGCACATGGGTTGACTACTTCAATGTCAGCAATGCAGTGTGTGTTTTTGGCTTAAGAGCAAGCACAGAGGACTCCCAGAGATACGGACTACACTGGGGTAAGACCAGCAAGGATATAAACATGCCACTCCTGGCTCCTTGGACTTATCAACATGATGGGGAGCATACAACTAAAGTTTACGGTAAGGAAGTGAATGTTTTAATTATTTTTTCAATGAATTGGCTTGGTTGAATCAATGAGACACAAATCTTAAAAGGAGCCGACGATCTGGTAGGTTCGGTCTAGATGACTTTGGTTTGGGTTCTAGTATGTTGACATGGATTAAGATTAAGAAACCATATAGATTTGATCACGTGTACCAATAGTACAAGAGTAATGTATTTTGAAAATCAACTTACGCAGTGTATTGATTCAGTTTAATATTGTTTTTTAGGAGATTCAGGTGTTCCCTACCACACTGGAGGATATGTAGTGGATCTGTACGAGACCCAAGACAAGTGCAACAATGAGATATCCGACCTGGTAGACCTGGAGTGGTGGGACGTGAGGACGAGAGCCTTCATTGTTGAACTGACTTTGTACAACCCCAACACGGATATGTACAGTCTGGTCACATTGATAACAGAGCACCTGCCTAGTGGAGCGTTTACCAATCGGATACATGTAAGTGCAACATAAAAATAATGTTACAACTACTTTAGCGATTGGTTCATGTTCCCAGAAAATATTGTAAGGATGACGGAATATTTGAAAAAAGAGAGGCATGATGTTTAAGAAGCTTTTTTGGAGTGTTTTAGTTTTTAACTTTTTGGGCAGAGAATCATTATTTGTTGCTGTTGATATGAAATTATTGCAACTGGTCAATATATTAATGTAGGTAAATTAGCCAAACTTCTTTTCCTGTTAACTTTACATAAAAATGATTCTGAAATGCCATGGAATAGTTACATAGAATTTTTCCTCAACACTAATATTTGATGGCAATGTGTAACATACTAATTAATTGTGTAAAGTAATTTAATAAAAAAAAAACTAAATGCCCACTTTTGTATGGCTAAAAAAGATCTTCAATTGGGTTCCAGGTTAAAAAAATTAAATCACTCTAATATTTGATATTTTGACAAGGTGGTCATTTCCGGCCGCCATCTTGGATCCGCCATATTGGATGAAAAAATTTTTTTTTAAAAGTAAAGGTGGGGTTGTGACCCAATATTTCGAACTAGATTTTTACCCTGATTACAATGCCACAAACAGTTTTTAAAAATCTTGATTCATTCCAATGTTATGGGGGCTTTTTAAAACTTTATTTTTACATTGTCGACCTATTTTCACTTGGTTATGACTGATGTATTTGTTTCGGCGGCCATCTTGGATCCACCATTTTGAAATGTGATAAATTATTTTAAATGTGAAGAGGGTGTTGTGGCCCATTTTGAGCACTATTTTGAGATTATGGTCTTAGTTTGTACATGCACAATGTTAAAATGGGGTAAAAATAAAGTTTTAAAAATCCCCCATAACTTTGGAATAAATCAAGATTTCTAAAAACTGTTTGTGGCATTGTAATCAGGGTAAAAATCTAGTTCGAAATATTGGGTCACAACCCCACCTTTACCTTTGAAAAAAAAATATTTTGCATCCAATATGGCGGATCCAAGATGGCGGCCGGAAATGACCACCTTGTCAAAATGAAGTATTTACTAGGTACCCAACAATGTTTGGAAGTGGTCTTGGATTGATATTCGAAAAAATGTAGAAAAAAGTTGGGGGGGACAATTAAAACTCACCCTGTATAATGGGTGGTTGGGATATGAATCCTAGAATTTTCGGAACCTCAGACAAAAATATTAGACCTAAAATTTCATAGGGTGTCTTACTCTCATCACACGTTATTAGATAAACCTCTGGATGGCCATCATTGAATAAACCACTATCTAATCATTCATAATCCATTTAAGGACAGGATCTATGTTGTTACCAATTTTAGTAAAATTTCCCAACTTTAACTATAATACTTTTTTAATGAAATGGCGACCATACAAAGTAGGTAACAATCAATTGCCGTTATTGATTAATAATAAAAAACATCATACGCAGAATTTTGTGTTTTCCAAACTAACTACAGGTGCATTTTTGTATAGCATGCGTCGTTTAGGAGTTGTAAGCCGAAAACTGGTCAAATAATCAACCTTTTGGCCATGTTATTGAAAATATCCCAACTTTGAAAAGCTACAGTGGCTAAACGGCACGGCCGATTTTGACGTAATTAACATCAATCGACGCGGAATTTAATGCACTAAAAGACACCTTTGAACAACATTTTCCTTAGGATTCGTTATTTAGGAGTTTTACGCGAAAAACTGAAAAAAGTGCAAAATTTTCATAGTTTTTCGACTCCCAAAACTTAAGCAGACGTCAGAATCCGTCGCAAACTCACAGGGGTATTATTTGGGACCCCCAAAAGGTATTAAAACACTTTCCAGCTTTAGACGATTTTTTGGGGAGCACACCCTATTTTTGATCTAATTTGCCTGGACTAATGGCTAAAAAAGATCTTCAATTGGGTTCCAGTTTAAAAAAATTAAATCACTCAAAGATATAACAAACAGGCCTAGATGGATTTAGTGTCTGTAAAGATTCAAAGGACCTAAACCAGAGTTTATGGATTTCCCCAAATCAACATGAGGGAATTATTAGTATAATTTTTATAATGGTTAATTTAATTTCATCAAGTATTTTAAAAAAATATATTACTTTTGGGTAGTAAAGATATAGAAATTTCTATTTTGATGAAGTTTTAAAGGTAACTTCCTAAATTCAATTTACAAAATTGATATTTTTTAATTAAATTATTAAAACTTATTTATTATGGGTTTGTTTACATGTATATATTTTCTCGGCATCTAGATAGGAATCTATATTATAACAAATGCTGTCTTGAACTACACTAAAAGTTTACACAAATCTCAAAATGAATAATATTAAGTACTATCTCAGAGTAGCCTAATTACTCTGAGGTACTATACATAATGAGTTTTAAAAAAAGTCAATGGATATGATTGTATTAAACTTATTGAAATACTAACTATTTGTTGAATGTTTCAGGTTACGTTAATTCACCTTGGTACTAACCTATTTTGGACAACTCTTTACCTCGGTATTCTTATTTTATTCAACATCAACTTATTCCTCGAAATCAACAGAAGAGGAGTTATATTAAGTTTGTCGAGAGGTTGGGGTTGCTACGAGATTCTGTTTGTCGGTGTCAGTGACGCTGCAATTATATTCCAATTGTTGAAAACAATCAAAATGTCAACAGCTGTCAGTGTGTTTCAAGATACTGGTAGCAGTGGATTCTTTTTCTTTCCTCAACTTGTCTGGTACGAGAAAACCGCTATTAATGTTTGGATTACAGTTTTATGTCTCACCCCCATTCGGTTGCTTAAGTTTAAGCCCTTTGTATCCGCTCTTAAAACAGTGCTTTTCTCGTTATACAGAACAAAAAAGCTTTTATTAGGCGTGTCCTCTCTGATTCTGTTTTCAATTCTTATCCAAAATTATATGATAAATTCAAAAATTTCCCCAGAAACATTACCTTTTGCAACGGATTCCAAGTTTTACATTGGGAGTAAAAAAGAGTCTGTTGACAGTTCACCTGGTTATCATCAATTTGTAACATCCCTGTTGCACTCAATTGTTTCTGGAGTAGCAATTGTTCTTTTTAAAGTATTATTAGTTAATGCATATAAGAAGTAAACTCATAAGTATATGTACTCAAGTATTGTGTATTATAACAAATAAATCTGTACAAACACAACTTAAATTATTCATTTAGGTCTACATTGGCTAAATTAACTTTTGTCCATATTGGCTTCTATGATTCCATCCAAATCCAGGATATCTCCTCCTGTGGTCATGTAGACAACATCATCGTCTACTGCAATCACGGTCAAATCCCTTATACCTCCCGTGGTGATGGAAACATCATCTTTTTCCGCAGCAAAATCCCAAATACCACCCGTGGAAAAATAAACATCAACAGTCTTCTGCGACAGCGACAAAATTTTGAGTTTCTTGCACAGTCAAGGTAACATTAATATCGTCTTTCACTATCGCAGCAAAATCGTGAACGTCTCCCGCGGTTGTGTGTACATCATTCTCGTCTTCTGCAATTGCGACAAAATGTTGAATGTCTCCCACACCCACAGAGACATCGTCATTGTCACCTGTTGGGAAATGTGTTCTATTCGACATCAGCAGTCTCAGCAAAAGCATGAATCTTTAAATCGCATGGGCGTGATCCTCAGTCTGGATGATATCACGTTCCTAAAAGCTCTGCTTGAGCTTGATTTTCTGACTTTGTGCTGGTTATATCTCTCAAGCTTGTAGTCCAAGCTCGGCTCGGCTCAAAAACTGATATTCTCTAATACAAATTATAGGAAAAAATAAAAATTAATTTTCTTTATTTGTGTTTTGTTATACAAGTATACATAAAATAACACAACAGAACACTTCATACTTTCAAAATATTTTCTTTACTCGTTTTTAAATATGCGGATATATCCGCTACCCGTCCGCGGATGAGTAGAAAAGCAGCGGATATATCCGCCACCCGTCTTTGAAGATATGACCATGACAAGGTTAGGCAATAAATAAAGAACAATAAATAAATAAAATAAAGACAATGTAGTGTTGAGCACGAAACGTCGAGAAGGGAAGCGTAGGAGAGGTGGGTGGTGCGAGAGGAGAGGTTGAGGAGAGGGAGAGGGTAGGGGAGAGGGGGAGTACGGGTGAGAGCGCTGCCATGGAGAGAGCAGGAAAGTGGCGCCTTGGTACCGCGAAACATCTGGTTACTGCTCAAGCACCTGCCAGTCTGTCTGAAAAGAAGGCTAATATATCCACTTCCCATCCGGAACATAAAAAACCATAAGCGGATATATCCGTCACCCGTCCTGTATCGCCAAAGACTTTGGCGGATATATCCGTTACACGTCCGGGAAGGGTTAAACGTGCACGCGGGGGTATGACATACCCCCACCTATGGTAATTTTGTCATAATTTTACAAGTATGGTGGCAACCCTGATGAGCATAACAGTAGCTTCCTTTTATAGCATATGCTATCATCTGGCCGCAGGGTTGTTAGTCTTGACCGAGTCATTGACCTATTATCACCCCCCTGGGTCTTCCATACCACCCCCACGTGCGTGCTTGTGTTACCAATACAGTGTTATATTGGGGGGTCTAGTGTACCCCCGTGCGCGTAGTAGTGTCTCAGATTTATTATCATAATTAGTATTAATAACTTTATTATTTATAATTTTGATAGTTTTGAAAGCTTGCAAAAAAAACTTAGTATCTGTAAACCAATTGGATGGCAATTTCCATCCATAGAGTCCACTGATCTAGCCTCCCAATAAAAATATGCGGTGTACCGTGTGCCTTGGTAAAAACATACGCCTAGACCAAATTTAAGTGTAAAACCTTAAAAAAACTAATGTACCAGGGACAAATGTAAAATATTTGAGAAGTGTGTTTAAAAGGACTTCTAAACCAACCACTGGACGAGGATTTTTAAAGAAAAACACACATTACCAATACAATGAAAGTGTTGAATTTCTTTTATTTTTGTTCATTGTTTTCTACAAACCGGGAAATATATTAATTAATTGAATTCATGAAATATTTACTGCTTCCATGGATTTTTACAAGTATTAAACTTTTGTATAGTTAAAAATATTATTGGTTTCCAATAAAAACATGTTTATAACTACGATTTTCCCATCTTTAACATCATTATTACACTACATTTCATCATGAAAAAATTAAGGGTTTAATTTAAACTATTGTTTTCAAAATAGTGGATATGGTAGGATCATTAAATAAAATTTATGTAAAAATATGAGATAATGAATATACAGGGTGATTGGTACTCAGTGTGACAAAATTTTTTGGTGTAAGTACAAAGTAAACGAAGTGTGATGATGCATAGGTTCCAAGTTTAAAAATTAGCTTCCCAAAGAATTATTTTAAGTTTTTTTTCAAAAATAACCATGTTTTTAAACTACTTTAGGGCTTAGTACATCAATTTCTCAATTACCTGTAAATGGATTTGAGTAAATTATGTCATTTTCGTGATTATCTTCAAGTGGGAGTGTGGGAGAGGTGCGTGGAGGGCTGGAGAGGGGGAGGCACGGGAGAGAAGTGGGAGCGTAGGAGAGGTGCATGGAGGGCTGGAGAGGGGGAGGCACGGGAGAGAAGTGGGAGTGTGGGAGAAGGCATAGCCATGGAGAGACCAGGAAAGTGGAGCTGATATATCCGCTTCCCGTCCGGAACATCAAAACCATAAGCGGATATATACGCCACCTGTCTTTTATCGCCAAAGTCTTAGGCAGATATATCCGTCACCCGTCCGGGAAGGGTGAAGCAAAACTTGTATTTTTCTTTCAGTTTAAACAGTAAAAACAGTAAAAGTTCCCTGTTTTCTAGTATCCAAACCACTAAAACAAACAAAAGCATATCTAAACCTCAATAGTGTAGCATATGGTTGGAAAGCTTATACAATGCCGCAGTTTTTAACATATTTGGCCACCTTCTTGTATACAGGGTATAGAAAAATGCAATAGAACAATGTTTTATTTTTTTTATTTTTATCAAACACCTAAATTTTTATCTTCGGAAGGCTATGCTGTCTACTAGTTGGTAAAGATCACTACTTGGACTATAACATTTTGCTGATAAAAATTCTGAATTCACTTACCAATGAAAGTGAATCAGGATTCAAATTTCAATTTTCGAACAAACATTTTTCCAATGGATCTATTAGCGAGACTTATATAATAATTATCTTATATATAATTATAACGACCATAATAATCTTTAAACTAAAATGAAATAGGTATTTACAATAAAGGGTAATCACATATATTAATATATATTTTAAATTGAATTATAAAACAAGAACAAGCGGAAGTCCAATTCAAATCAATCCAATGTCCAATTCAGATGATCACAGGAGAAGACGAGCAGGAATAGTGGTCGTCTATGGATTAGTCGACGTAGCGTCGTGACCTATTCCGTTAAGCAGGTAGTCAGCCGTTGGATGTAGGGGCAGAGGATTTTCGGAACTCAGGTAGCGCCAGCGCCTGCAAAGGTGGGATACTGACAGAGCAGCAACTACGTGTGGGCAGGACTGCGGGGAATGTTGTCTTCCATGGAGGAATGGTAGACCTGCTTCCGGTTGGTTGTTGGAGTGAGTGTAGTGTCCCCCCCCCCCCCTCCCACTCTACCACCCTGGAGGTTGGTCTCGAGTCTTCTCTTGGTTACTCACAAAAGTGTAAAATAATGGGGAGGCAAAGGCAGTTTAGTACAGGTATTGTTGAGAGGGCAATGACTAAACAAAGGGTAAAGAGCTTCATTTTGAAGTAAATGAAAATATGTAAGAATAATTACCACAGCAACCTATTTAACTATGTTGTCTATAGTAAGAGAATTGACCATTGGAAAATGTTTAATTTATATGTAAAATTTTACTTTTGAAGGGAAACATATGTACACACAGTGAAACATGTGGGCCTTGTGGTTGGAGTTTGTTACACATTTAAAAATTGTTTGGGAATATTTTATTTGTATGGACAAAATTCAACAAAAGACAACAATCATTATCTTCACAATCATAGATGGGGTAGCGTATTTTTATCCCCATGGAATTTTACCCCCTGGCCAAAACTAACGTTCCAAACCAGTGAGGTAAAATTCCGCCCACGAACTTTTGAGTTGCGTTACACATTATCAGTTTGATGGATTAACCCTTCCAGGGCTATGGACGGATATATCCGTCAATCTTTGTTTACTTTCCGGGCTGAAAACAGATATATCCGTCCCGAGAAATTTCTTTTCTGGGATAAAGCAAGGCCCCACTACAAAAACAGGCCATGCTGCAGCACGGGCAGCGCAACACTACGTCACAGTTGTGGATAGTTGTACTAAACTCTTACCATTAAAATCTTACAACCAGCTTGTTTATTTACCTAAAACAGTGTTCATATTTTGTGATTATCACTGAGGGCAGCAGACGGATATATCCGTCCACCTTTATGTTTTTTGTGGGCTAAAGACGATCCGTCAAATCAAATTTTATTTTCTTCATAACTTTTGTACAAAAATTAGTTCAGCCCTAAGCAAAATATTTTTATGATCCATGAATTATTTCAAGTAAAATAAATACAAAACACAACCACTTTAGTTTTTAATTTTTGGCAAAAAATAATTAAGCTCCAGCCCTTCATATAATTTAGCCCTGGAAGGTGTAAAGGTGGAATTAAACGTATATTTTCAAGGTTGTGAATTTAATCAGAACACATCACATCATAAAAACCTAGAGTGTAGGGGCCGGAATTTTATCCCCAGACTATAACAAAAAACATTGGCTTTCTGCCGACCTTAAAGAAACAAAAAAAGATTTGATTGAACTCAGTAATATAGCCAGAAATTCAAAAGATAAATATTTCACTGTTAAAGTAAAGCAAAAGAATCGAATTTTTAAATACCCCCGCCGTAGCAAACCTGCAAACTAAGCGAATTTCCATTTGCCTAATTGGATTTATACTCAAATGTCTCCTTAAAAATATCACATTTATTGCCCCCCCCCCCCCCCCTATTTAAATAACATTAGTTTAACGAGTACTTAGGTTTGCTGCAACAGGGAGGGTCAAAAGGCGTTTTTTTGTAAAATGTTAATAATTTAGTATGAAATGAAGGCATTTTCCAAATTTGATCGAAATATGATCATAAACAAGCAAACTACAACAGTTTACTTATTCTCTATAAGAATAACATGGGAATTTAAAATTTACAGTTTTGGAATTTTCTCTGTAACCATTAGGCGCATAATAACGCTTCAATGCACAAAATATTTGTGTTTTTTTTAAGCTCTACAAAATGGTTTGGAAAGAAAATGCTTAATATTAAGTTTTTAGTGTCAAAAATGGGAAAAATCAATTTTTGCCCCATAAAACCCCTGTTCCCATAGTCTGATCATGCTGGTTCGCGAACTCGTTCGAATAAACATATAGGTTTACACGTTTATACCAAATTTCATCAAAATCGGATGATTTTTGCTCCAGTTATCGCGCTAACGGACACATATATAAATATACAGGGTGTCCACAAAGTCTTGGTCGGATAAAGAGACCGCATATAGTTCGAAAACGAGTGATAGTAGGATAAAGATTCTTTTACAAATACGACAGGCAACTTCTTAAGATTTTATAACTATGTACAAACGTAACACAACTCTACTTGTGCGCATCCAGTGGCCTGCATATCTTCTATACGTCTTTTCAGTTTGTCCCAGGTTTTAGTCAGCATATCCTAGGTTACAGACGCCACAGAATTACTGAATTTCTCCCGCAGTATGTGTAAATAAGGAACCAGAGAAGAATGGACAGTATTCTCGACAAATCCTCACACAAAGAAATCCATGGGGGAACGAGGTGGCCATTTCAATGGGCCATCAAGCCCATCGTCCGGGGAAGTGGAGATTTTAGAAATCCCTCCCACATTTTTAGCCCAATGAGGCGGGGCGCCATCTTGATGGAAAATTATCATAGGTTGCAGTTCTTCCAATTGAGGGACTACGTACAACTCCAAAATCTCCAAGTAAACAAACCTATTCAAATTCTCTTCCGGAAAGATTAATGGTCCAATGATTCCACCATGCATTACACCGGACCAAAGATTTAGTTATGGTCTATCCCTTTCATTTTCAACCACAATACAGGGAGTTTCACTCCCCCAAATTCTATAACTATTGTGTCTGTTAACCTTCGAACTTAAATAGAATGTCGTCGAACTGCTATAGGGGATTGGGTTTCGTTAAACAACAAAACACACTGTGATTTCTCATGTATTAAATTCACCATTTATAAATTGTTATTGTATTGAATCATAACTGTATTGTTGTCAATCAGCTGTGTTTTGGTGTAACCAATTTCATTAAATAAAACTTGATTAAATTCCCTTCAAGGCAAGGCATACAAGATAAGTGTGGCTCTAATGGTTTTCGTACAGCAAAGCTACTAAATAATGCCATATTAATGCCAAGACTTTGTGGACACCCGGTATATATATATATATATATTAATAAATAATACACCATAGTACCCTTTTTTAAATTATTTTTGACTGATGCATTTCGACACTAAGGTCATGGTCACAGTCTTTCACAATGTTTTATTTATTAATATTAAATACAGTAGCCCTAAACGTGAACAATATCAAATCTATAAGTATAAAAGAGGATGTTTGTATATATATATATATATATTTGTTTTCTTTGGCAGTGATAAACTCAGACACCGCTGAACCGATTGCCACGAAACTTGGTACATACGTGTAGAATTTCATGGAATAGGTTTATACACCATCAATTTCGTGATCCGTCCAATAGGCTCCACCCCAGTGGCTCTGGAGTTTCCCATGTTAACCTTATGAGAAATGGAATTAATGAATCTTAACAGCTGTTTCAATTAAACAAGTTGGTTCTGTTCTATGATGTTCAATAGCATTAAAGTTACAAGGATTACTGAACAGGGTGCAGCACTATTATTTCTTTTACATTTATGACAACAGCTAATTTGCAACCAAAAGGTGAGTGAGCGTAGCGAACGAGCTAACCTGAAGGCAAGTGAGCGTAGCGAACGAGCTCCAACCTAAAGGTGAGTGAGCGTAGCGAACGAACTTCAACCAGGACGTGATTGAGCCATGCGAACGAGATCATCTTGAAAATTAAGAAGTTAAACGGGGCAAAGCCCGCGGGTTACAGCTAGTAGCCTATATATATATATATACATATATTTTATAGTTCTGTTCACTTTTAGGGCTACTTTTTCAATTAATAAGTGAAATAATAAAAACCAGAGTACCCTGAAATTCATTTTTATTTCAACTGATACGTATTTCGGCACTAAGGTCATGATCACATTATGAGTTATACAGGGTGAGTTTTAAATGAGTTCCCCCCCTACTTTTTTCTACATTTCTTAAGATATCAACTCCGGACCACGTCAGATCATTGAAGAGTAGTAAGTACTTCATTTTGACTGGGTATAAATTTTTGGCCGCCATCTTGGATCCCCCATATTGGATACAAAGTTTTTTTTTCAAATGTAAAGGTAGGGTTGTGACCCATCGTTTTAAACTAGATTTTTATGCTGAATACGATGCTGCAATTCGTTTTTAAAAATCTTGATCCGTTCTAAAGTTATGAGAACTTTTTATAACATTATTTTTAGCCCATTTTAACATTGTGCATTTAGAAACTAAGAACATAATCGCAAAATAGTGCTAGATAAAGATGAGTATACACCTTTTTCTAGCACTATTTTGCGATTATGTATGTCAGGGTGAGTCGCTGATCCAGCAGGACGCCGAGGTACTTCACCCGGCGCTTCCATGGGATGTCGGCCCCGTCTAGGTGGAGGTGTTGACCATCGTCCTGCCTCCTCGACCTCGTGAAGGAGATCGCCTCACTCTTGTCAGCGTTGACTTTCACTCGCCACTTCGTCAGCCACGGCAGCAGCAGGTTCAGCTGTCGTTGGACATACACCCTGGACATCCTCAGGTTGGCGGAGGTGGCAGTGAAGAGCGCATCATCTGCGTAGAGTGAGAGCTGCACTCTTGGCGCCAGGGGTATGTCGTTGGTGTACCACAGGTAGAGTATCGGCCCGAGAACCGACCCCTGTGGCACACCCGAAGAGACTGGCCGTGGTGTGGAAGTCGCCCGTCCAACGGAGACCCTGAAGCGGCGAGCGGTCAGGTAGCTCTTGACGAGCCTGTAGATCGAGCCGGGTAGAGGGGAGGACGCCAGCTTGTAGAGAAGCCCCTCGTGCCAGACCCGGTCGAAGGCTTTGCTCACGTCGATCAGGACTGAGGTCGAGTGGTGCTTTCGTTCCATCGCCCCAGCGATGGTGTTGAGGAGAGGACCCACCGCAGCTGGACTAACTGTTGATGTAGGGGTGTTTCTGTAGACATATTTTTTATAAGAATTGGCAGATAGAAAGGGGTTTTAGCTTTAGGACACATAATGGATTATGACATTAATGAACCGTATTATATTAGTAATTTATTTATTTAATTCATTATTTCTCTTCCCGCTTCCGCTGTCACTATAAGATGGTAAAAATGGCTGGCCGACAGTGACAGAGGTCAGAGTCAGAGACAGAGAAAGAAGTTTGACAGAAACAGAACATTAGAACAGAACAGAATGAAATAGCTCAGTGGAATGAACCAATGAACGTATTCGTAAAATCGTATTGAAGTTGAGTTGAAGTTAGACTAGACTAGAAATGTCGAAGTACTTTGAGAAAAAAGTCGAAGTACTTTCGAGATAAGTCGAAGTAGAATGAAAGACAAAAAGAAACTGAATGTCCCTTCAGGGCCGTCGGCTGAATTTTTATTTCAGCTGCAGTATTTATAATAAGGTCAAAATAAGAGCATTCTATTGGCTAAGGGAACACCATTACCGCAACGAAACGGCTTGTAGCCATTGGCCTCGGTGGTCTGAGTGCTGGGCTGAGAAGCTAAAGGTACCAGGTTCGAATCCTTTCGGTAACACTAACTTTTTTTTAAGATTTTTGCATTATCAGCAAGTTTGGTTAGGTTATGACAGTTTAATTTTATAATTTAAAAAATGTTTAATTGAATTTGAGGCATTTATAGTTTTGTTTTATTTTATGAACAGAACTATTTTTTGTATAAGTAAACCTTCATTCAATTTTTCATTATCAGTAAGTTTGGTTAGTTAGGTTAGGTTATAAGATTTTAATTTAATAATTAAAATATTAATTTTAAATTTTTTTTAGATTTATAATATTTTTTTATTTCTAATTTTTAAACTCTCATTTTGTCCGTATTAAAAAACTGCAGCTGAAATAAAAATTGTGCGGGCCGTCGTAAGTTTAGGCATAGATTAAACATACTCCTCTATGTATGTTTAATCTATGGTTCAGGTTCATTTCACATTTCAGTTCAGACTTCAGTCTCACTTTCCTTCAGTCAGACTCTGAATAGGTTATGTTATATGTTTATGAATATGGTTACAGTAAAAGAGACTAAAGAAAGAAGAAGATTGACTGATTGACTAGAAATAGAAAAGGAAGAGGGGGTGTTTTGGTGTTTTGTTATTTGTATTAATATTCATCCTAATGAACATGTCTTTCTGTACATAATTAATCTAATTTTCTACTAGTTTATTACCTTCTCAACAATGCCAACCTACGAGCTATCATTTTTAGTCCGGGTATTACCAAAGGTAAGACATCTTGACGAATAAGTTATAGGACTGGGCTATCCATCAGGACCTCAGTGATAACCTAATTCAATATTCATTCACATTAGGTTAAAGACTAAAATGTTTATTTTATAACTAGGCCTAGCCTTTTTAATTCGTGCTCAGAGTAATTTTTATTTCAAAACATAAGCTAAATAAAATATTGGGTAATTATTCCGTACAGGTGCCTCCAAACGAATTTTTAATTTTGATATCTTACTTTATAGTTTTTTACCTCCTGAATCCAAATATACCATTAATTTTCACCGCTGATGAATATTTCTCAAGATATCGCCGTAAAAACATACTTAACATTACAATAAACAAGGTAGGATGGATGACATTTACAAGTGGAATGTACTATGGGTTAAGTAAACCAACCAGCTGATTGTTTTCAATCATAGTCAAGCAAATGGAAGTGACAACTTTAATTAGCTAACTCTGATTCTGCAATACGAAAATCACCTGATTAAGTTACACTTTTCACTTTCTAAGACCAATAAGTTAATAATGTATTAAGTTAGTGCTTTTCACACTGACTCCGAAAATGCAAACAGTTGGTAACAATATCAATCACAGACATCTGGCTAAAATTATATATTTTTTTAATAGTTAAGTAACTTAAGTTTATTCCTAAATGCTAAATAATGTCCTGAATTCAAAAATGAATGTCATATTCCCTGTTAAAGCGGAAAACGGAAAAAACAACATTTTTGCTGAAATATTTAGAATCTATGAGGCCACCATCGATTCACACCAGAAATTTCGCTGGAGATAAGGTCGTGTAGAATTAGGTAGCCTACTTGTGGTAGGCCTATGTAGGCCTATTTGTTTCAACTCGATGAACTCGACTCTTTGTTTTTGACAATCATATTGGTGAATAGACCTAATAGACTGGCTGATGAATAATTCCATTCTAATATCAAATATTAGGTGTCCAAGCTTAGAATTTAATTTTGTTTCTTGTCTCAAGATTACTGTTTTTAGATTAGAAAAGGTATAATGTTACCACTGAGCTATAAATCTAACTGGAGGTAGCACTGAATGTCAACGATGCGTGTCGCCAGCCGCCATGTTTGCGTGAGGTGTGAGTATAAAGAAGCCATGTTATTGGATGAAAAAACTCACTGCTATGCAAACCTAGCTATAGAAGCCATGTTATTGGATGAAAAAACCTGCTGCTATACCAACCTAACAAAATCAGCGACACGCTTATGACAGACTTCTGCCATGGCAGTGCTACCTTCAGTTATAATTTTAGCTCAGTGAATGTTACCTGGATCTGCCAGAGTAATCCAAAGGTTGACTGTCTACTACGCGTTTTGAAGAAATTTTAGCTTCATCATCAGGTCTTCAAGAACACGTTTCACTCATCAGAGGTCGTCAAATAAATATAATTTTTACAAACATACATGGACGGAAAATAGTAGGCCTACGAACCGCGTAGGTCTGTTCTAACCTGTTTAAGTGCGTGCACGCCGTTCAGAATTAAAGTTGGTAACCTAGAAATTAGATTTATTGATCTACAGTGAACCTACTAAGTTAAGTGAGGAGTATTATGGTACCAATGCTCACCTACTTTCACTCAAATATAACAAAATATTTGCTGACTTGTTATTAACATCAGCCTCTAGCTTAGGTTCTATCCTAATATCTTGGTAGTTTTAGTTAAAAGGTGAAAAATCTACTTACCTATAAGTCAAAAATAATTCTGTGTGTGTATGTGTACATTTAACAACCATTGTTTGGTGGGATTTCTTTAAAATTTGTTGATTTGATGCTGAAGATGATTGTCCTTGCTTGAAACATGACCAGCATAACCTACACTAGTAACCATAATATTTTACACGTATGACGACAACTAAGTATATTTTCAGCGTCTAATTGCATACTTCTGGTGTAAAGAGTGTTTCATTTTATAGTGGGCCTACAACTTATATATTTTTGTTTATATTTTCAGCATGAAACAAAAAATATTTTGAAAAGGGCAGCAAACTACATTTTTGATCATGGAGGAATCATTAGGAACATTGATAACCTAGGAACCAGACCAACGCCATACAAAATTAGCAATCATGGGGCTGTTCACAAGGAGGCCAGGTAATTGTAAGAACTACAATACAAAATTTATAATCTATGACATTTTCACTCTCTAATTTATTATCAAATAAAATTTATGTTAGGCCTACTAGCCTAGTTAGGTGAGAAATATGGAGCAAAACCTAAAAGCTTTGTATTTTAAAATATGTGATAAGTCTTCCATATAAAAATTGTCTGGATTGTAGTGCTCGCCTTCTAATATGAAGGTTGCTGGTTTGAGTCCAAGCAAGATTTTGTTGAGACAAATGTCATTTTGTCATTGGGCTATAAAATAATAACGATTCTACATAACAAAAAGATCGACGTTAGAAAATCGGAATGTTGCCGTACCTGCTTTTTTAAATTATAGAGCAGTTTTTGCCTATTTATTTATTCAATAAGTTAACTTAGTTACCTAAATAATTCTTTACCAGGTGCATTTGTCTGAACTGCTTATTTATTTATTTATTTTATTGTCTGGAAACCTTTAAACCAATTGTCTTTCATGCTCTAGGCCTAGTTGTGTTTTGAGGTGTCTTTAAGATATTTACATTGTTATATTTTGACAAAATTTATTGTAAGTCAATATGTTGTTTAATGATGAATATTTGATTTGATTTGAATGGCAGGACCAGGGTTTGGACCCTTTCAAAACGTAAAAAATTCCATTGGCGTAAAACACACAAAAAATAAAATAAATAAATAACTTATAAAGTTTGTCTATGAAGTTCTTTTTTTGTAATTTATTGTTTTATTTTTACTAAAAATTGCTTTTGAATCTGTTAAGTTTAGACTCCATACATCAGCATACTTCCAATCATCTCCCCTGTCTTCTGGCTGTGTAAAGGCCCGTTGCCCAAGAACGCGTCTGTTGCGTCTGACGCTGAGTAATAGACGCTAGCGATAGACGCGTCATTGACTGCTAAGCATTGATTTCAATGGGCCCGTTGTCCAAGGGAGCGTCTCTAGCGTCTGACGCTTGAGACGCTGAGCGTCTGACGCGGGGCACTGCTCCAGGAGCAGACGGGATCGCTTATGGCCAGCGTCTATTGCGTCTATTGCATTGTTGTTTCTGTGTTCTCCCATATACTACATACTATACAGTATCTTAATGAAATGGCTATAGTCAAATACATATAGGTTATGACCTTAAAAAATTTCAAGAAAATGTCTTATGGTTTTATTTTGTAGTATTGGGTCTGCTGAGTGACATAGGCCTACTAGAAGTTGCCAAAAATCGGTCCATGGTATACCCCTTAAAATCATGATTAAATTGCGGCTTTTCCCAACATTGGACAAATAAAAAAAATGCTTGTATACATTTTTCGAGATATTGACTTAAGATCGCCACCAGTATTTATTGGGTGGTTAGTACTTCATTTCGATAGGAAACACGTTTGTGTCCGCCATCTTGGATCCCACCATATTGGATATACATTTTTTTTATGTAATGATAGTGTTGTGACACATCATTTACAAAACTAGATTTTCATGCTGATTTCAATGCCGAAATCCGTTTGAAAAAATCTTTTTTCGTTTCAAACGAAAACTCTCCCCCATACATTTCTTATAGACGTTTCGTACTTTTATCATTTTTTAAAATTATTTTTTTTAAATCTCCAGTTCTTATTAACGTTTGCAGTTTGTTTTAGCCTTAAAATAATTAGTAATGCAAGGGCTTCCATTTGGGCTAATAATCAAACGAGTTGGAGACCAGCTACGAACAAGAACACAAAATTAAATTTAACATTTTCAGAAATTTGTTTTTATTAAAAGATTTATATCTCTGGTTGTTAATACGCCATCAAGTTCTTTCTGGTCTTAAATTACTCAGTAAATTGTTGGTTAAACTCCCAAAACTCTTTATAGTCTTAAATAATTCACCAACGTATTGACTTTTATTTTAGCTATGGGTTTATATTGGGAGTTATTTAGAATAGGGGATATGTTTAACTAAAGACAAATTTCTAAATAATAATAATTAATGTTAAATTAAACTATCACAACTTAAACTTTAAAGGAACTTTAAAGGATTTTTAAAGGATCTTAAACTGTTTCCTTTAAAAGTAAAAAAAAAATCACTTAACAGCCTCTGGTCTGCATTAAAGTGGTTTTTTATAAGTATTTAAAATATCCTTCCTCACTTCTCTTTCTGAAAACACTGTGGGCACACAATCGAGGTTCGCTAAAGGTCCAGAATTTTCTCGTTTTCTATCTCTTTGATGAATAGGATCTTCAACACTTTTCTCTTACACTAATAGTGAGAGAACAAACAATTTTTAACACAGTCAGCAACCAACTGTTGAACTGAATAGACGCGTTCTTGGACAACGTGCCTCTAAGCGATCGACGCCCAGCGATAAACGCTCGGCGATCATCGCTCTGCGTCAGACGCAACAGACGCGCCTTGGACAACGCACCTTAAGTCAACATAAGCAGTATCATCTTGTGTACACTAGCAATATGATGATTTTATATTAAATGCAAGTAGCCTACAGTAGAACCTCGCTAATTTGAATTTCATAGGAAAGACAATATATTTTGAACTATAGGAAGTTTGAAATGCAGAGAGTTTGAATTATAGAGGTCAGATCAGAATTTAAAAAAATTTGGAGGTCCCAGTTTTAAGTGTAGAGAGTTAGAGAGAACCCATATCAATAAGAACATCAGTTCATGTTTCAACAGGCATATTTTTCATCCTGAATTCGAATTACAGAGGCTTTACGGTAACACAGTTCAAATGGTAGAGGTTGACTTTGAATTTTTTAGGTAACAGTTTGAATTACAGCAACAAAATTCGAGTTGTAGAAGCTCGAGTATGTGCAAATTCAAATTGTAGAGGCTGCATTAAGCGTAAAAATCACTTTGAATTATGGGTATACTAGCAGAGTACCCGACCTTCATACGGGGAAGGCATATAAGTATAAAATGCTTATTGCAGTAATACTCAAGCTTTGCGTTTGCAATGGGGGAGGACATAGTTTTGATAAAATTTGGGGTACTTTCCTGTTAAAGGGAACATTCATTATTATCGATGATTTTTTTCTCGATGTATCGATATTAACAAATTGAAACATATCAGCTGACAACTACGATAAATAAATATTGTTCAGAATCGACAGACAAAAATTTAAAAACATATTGAAATAAAACTGTTCTAAACTAACCTAACTTGCTGTAACATTTAAAAACTTTATTTAATATTCTCCACTTGCTTTTTCTGTTATCAAACGGAATTTTTAAATGGTACAGCAAGTTTGGTTGGTTATGTTAGGTTAGCTTAGAACAGATTAATTTCTTTCCATATAATAGACTATATTTTAGCCTAAATGTCAGCTGTCAATTTGTAATGTATCGTAAAGGGGAAAAAATCGATATATCGAAAAAAAATCATCGATAATCATGAATGTTCCCTTTAACAGGAAAGTACCAAATTTGGTAACTGCACAATTTGGTAATAACATGGGGAATTGCAGAACCATTGGGGTGGAGCCCAAAAGGATTTTTGAAATAAGAATAGACCTATATGTTAATCAGGAATGTGAGCTATCATGATGCCAAATTTCAGCCCAATCCATCCAGTAGTTAATGCATGATTGAACATCAAACAAACAAACAAACATACAAACTTTTATAATATACTAGCTGTACCCACGGGCTTTGCCCCGTTTAACTTCATAAGTATTCACATGGCTCAATCGCGTCCCGGTTGAAGTTCGTTCGCTACGCTCACTCACCTTTAGGTTGGAGCTCATTCGCTGCGCTCACTTGTTTTCAGGTTAGCTCGTTTGCTTAACATAACATCTGTAAACATTCAGCTTTTGTGTCACAAATTCAGCATTTGGATAAAATGTAAAGACATACTTAGGGTTGACTTATTTATACTATGTGTAATGCTAATCATTGATACGTTCAATTCTTCTGTAAGAGGATGACAGATTAAATAAATATACATAGTAAAATACTATGATGTTCAAATTATTTTTTAAAGCAATCTTTGTAATCTTCGATTTGTTTTAGAGCAATATAATTTGTTTTAACTAACAGCTGGTTAAATATAAACTATGGAACTATGAGGTGACTTTATTTACTCTTATTTTGTCATTGATTATAGGAAATAAGTAAGATTAGTAGAGACAATTAGACGACAGTTTAAAATAGCTTAGACCAAAACTAATTAAACCACAGTACAAATCGAGGCTCTGTACACGAGTCAAAGGATAAATGAAATTTATTTTACTGCTCCACTTTTCAAGGAAAGAATAGAAAAATAACAATGTTTACATGTTTTAATTCTTCATGGTAGCTTTTTGTTTACAATTAATGTTTGTCTGCTTTAACTTTGTTTGGATTAGGCCCGGAAATATTGATGTCATAAAAAGAAGATCAAGAATAATCAGGTATCACGATTCTAAATTACCACCACAACCTCAGCCGGGTTTTATACAAAGATAAACAGATGGATGACATAGATTGAACACAACGTCAACATTGACCTAGGATACTGCAATTAATTAGACAAACCATCCTTTTATGAAATCGTGTTCAGTTGTGGTTACGTTTGGGGGTGCCTATATCAGCGCCCCCAAACGTGAAAATATCACTTTTATTTCAACTATGAATATATTGTAGTTTAAATTAACTAATATGGGAAATTACGATGTACATTTATTGAATGAGGGTGGGTAATTATCAAGGATAGAACTGATAACGGTATGGATAATAAAATATACATTGACAATTTACGTCATTAGCTTTACTAGCATGTTTACTTTTTATATTCCTGCTACATGTGACCAGTTATTTTTTTCAAATGAATGTTATTTGAACCAAACAGCTGTTTCAAAACAAACTGTTATTGTTTTTACTTTTCTTTGTTTACACCTATTTATTTAGCAATTAATGCAGTGAAATTTATATAAAGGATAGGTGTGACAATTAGTATTGATGTTAGGACACCAAAGTTAAATTATGTGTACTGTGAATTTGATTGGATATTATCGTTTTATTTTAGGTCGTTTCTATTCAGACCTACTGGAAATTGTGTATAGTAGTTGTATTGTGGTGATAATAATTATGGAAGAGGCAGGTATGCTATGGAAGGTGGTATCGTTGACTAGGTCTATACGCTTCTCTATTGACTATTACTCTCTCTACTGTAGGCTACTTATAATCAGTGTGCGTCTGTGCGAATCTTATGCGATAATTTTAGTTTTATTGTAAAATTATCGGATTTAAAATGCATATCTTATAGGCCTATGATGGAATAAAAACATATTTGGTCACACAACATTTGTTTAAAAGATGATTTTTCACATTAAAACTGCAAGAAACTTTGTCTTTATATGTGTAAACTAGCTGATCTGAATTGTACACGGTTTAAACTGACTACCTACTGAATTCCCATACGTATGACGGGCTAACACCTCGTCTGCTTTTAAATTATATTTATTTGTAAACATTCTAGATCAAAAAGTCTGACATTGGCCCACTTTAAACCCTCTGGGGCAGAGCCCTTTTGACAGATGTGCACCAAACTTCACTTGAACTATCCTTGAAAGATGCTTAATAATGCCTGAAAATTTCATTACAATCCGTCGAGCGGTTTCGGAGTCCATAACGTATATATATATACACACATACATAGTTCCTCTTTTATAGATATAGATAATATTAGTAAGTTTAAGTTAGTATGATTATTTTTTGAATTTTAGAGAGGAACAGACAAAAATTACTAATAATAGAGGTTTTCAAATTATCAAAGTTCGAATTAGCGAGGTTCTACTGTACCTATTTAGTTTATCTTTAAAATCTGTTTTCATTGTAAATATTACATTTTGCTTCAAACTTTAACTAAAACAATTAAACTTAGTGTTTTCCTGACTTTAGCCTAATTGTACTAACTGTTGTTCTCTTTTCTAGTTATTTTGTTTACAAATTTGATTTCCCTCCTGCTAAATTAACGATACTAAATGATGTCCTCCACCGAGATGTGGATATCATTAAGAAAAGAATATTCAGAAATGAGGCAAAGGAAGAGTTTGAATGTACGTTGGAGGATGAAATCAAACCAGCGCCTTACAGGTACACAACATTGATAAATATTAAAACCTCACTAACCCAACTCCCGGTAACTCAACAGTCTATTATAGCTGGCAGGGCGCACATCTAGCTGGCTTTGTCTTACTATTGTGCTTGACCTTTCAAGTTCTACTCGTTGAATTTTTTACATTTCTTTGAAGATTGCTTACTAACTAAACTACTGTAAAAATAATGAATTTATATGCAAAAATTAGTCTATAATGTATCCATTTATCAAAACCCATTTAAAATTTTAATGTTCTGGATGGTTTGACAACTCCCAAACTCTACAACCTCTATGTCCACAATTATTTTAATTAGCGCTGTTCTACTGTAGCCTATGTATTTAACCTTACTTTAAGACCCATCATACGCTGAATTAGACACATTTTTTGTCCAATAGACAATAGACAAGTGATGTAAAAAAAGTGTTGTTACATCTTTATTGGTAAATTGATCACCCTTCAATAGATAGAATTAAATTAATCAATAAAAATTTGCTCTAAAAACTCACTTATAATTATAATAACACTTATAATTTTTTTTTTTTTATTTCAACAGGAAAGAGGTTCAACTGATGATTGAAGAAGGAAGAAAAAAGGCTAGTCAAAAGAAAACGTTTACCTATGGTAACAACCTAAAGATCAATCCTTTCCAGCGATAGTTTGTGCGATAAGCAGGTAGTTTTGTAATTATATTGTTAAGTAAATTGATTAATTGTTAATAACTTTATTTAATCTTACACCTATCTTCCATCTGTATCCTGGCAAGAGAATCATTCCCTCTCCAAAACTTCAACCCTAGTTCAAACATTGATCTTTTTTAATAATGTCGAAGAAAGGTCGTATAGTTTGTAGTACTGTGACAGGAGTGTCGGTTTGGTGGTATTATAGCAGACGGAATCCACCCCCAAGTCCTGTCACGGAAAGGGAATTGAGACGGTGGGTCCCTATTTGGACTGGGTAAGTGAAAGGCCCAGTCCAGATAGGTCAGGGCAGGATAAAGGACAAGGAAAATGCCCTGACAGAAGATGAGGTGGACAAAGACAAAATACCCGGACAACGACAAAATACCCTGACAAAGACCAAATACCCCGACAAAGACCAAATACCCCGACAAAGACCAAATACCCCGACAAAGACCAAATACCCCGACAAAGACCAAATACCTGAATGTGGACAATAAAAGCTGGAGACGCTTCACGAGTTGTTAAACTGTCTGGTTGGTAGTCATCAAACTTTTGGGACCGATCACCACTATTGACTAATGTAATATCTCCAACCATTTTCTACTACATCTTATTTCAATGTATAACCAAATAAAATTCATTGTTTTTATGTGCAGTATTAAGTTTTATGTGTTAAATAGCTTAAGAACTATTAATATTTTTTAATTGTTTTTACTTTCTCCCCCATATATGGAGAAAGTATTGTTTTTGTCAACATTTTCGAGTTGGAATTTTAAGTGTATCCATACTGATTTAAGTACCTGCATTCAGTAATCCAAACTGCTGCTTGTGGCAACCATAGTTTCAGTTTCGGTTCAGCTAGGAACCATCTTCAGGCCGTACTAAGAGTCGTTCAGGTTATTCCTTAGTTGCCATTAGCTGTATGCTATTACCGTAATTAACAGCTGTGTCTAAGGAATAAGTCGGCCTTAGTCGCTAACAAGACTACAAAATCGCGCCACTCATCCTACATTCATCTCCATTCATAGTTGGCTTAAAATACCTACTCTGTATGGTCATCATTTCATTGTAAAGTATTAAAAGTATTTACCTCCATATATATATATGAAGGTTGTCATTGTTAAAAGTACATAAAACAAAACAAACACAACATTTAAAAACAACCGAGTATTCGGGGACACGAGACATGTGTTGGGTGAAAGTTGTAGTTCGAACTGGTGGTTGGTGGTCAACGTGGTATGATGTCAGCCATTGATTGGAATGAGAGTTTGTCATTTAGAACATTTTGACCATTTGTTTTGACCTGTAGATTTCAAATTCTAAATTCTTCAAAAGTATTAATGGTTGATCGGTCTTAGAAGAGATGTAGAACGTCCATATTACTATTTATGTTTACATAGATGTGATTAAGTGAAATTAAATACTCTGCGAAATTTTGAGTTTGGGGGCCTGTAGTTTTCTTAGGGATGTGATTGTCTGTCCGATGTAATATTTTGAGCAATCACTACAATTTAATTTGTATACCCCAGACTTGCCGTAAACAGTGGATTCTGTTTGTTGCCATTCTTTCAATAAAGATCCTAGCTTGTTTGTAGTTTTGAAAACTGTAATGTCATTTTATTTTTGAAATTGTGGCTTAGTGATGAACCATATTAAGCCGAGATATGATTTTTCTGATTAGAAGTTTTAAGGGTTTTATTTTAATGTTTATAAATTAAATTGTCTATTTAACAGCTATTGAAACCATTTGTGACCGCAATGTATTTTATTATGATGACTTCTTCTTTATAATCATTATCACTCATTGGTACTGAGAGCATCCTGTGAACAAAACTTTTGTATGCAGCAATCTTAGGCATGTCGCACACTGGGTCCGCACAGTTCCAGGGTGTCCACATTCTGGAAAGTCAGGGATAATCATGGAGAGTCATGGAAAAAAATTCTGGTCATTGAAAGTCATGGAAATAGGCAAAAAGTCATGGAAAGTCATGGAAATCCACAACGATGGATGGATTTCAGGGGTCCTTTCAATGATCTTGTCGGCCGTAACCCCGACTATTGTAGCATTTTTCTGAATTTTTCATAAATGTACGACAATTCAATTTATACAGTTGTCTTTGGGAGTTGTTGTTAGTTTATAGGTTTTGAGTTTGTATTTAGATCATTGTTGTACCTGTTGTACGCCATTGTTATCTGTCAATACATATTTCAGTATTTTCTGTCAAGGCAGTATTATTCAAGTGTTTACTGTATATTATAATTTTCGAGTAAAGTTCGTGAGTCATGAAAATCAATGGTCAATGGTCAATGGGTCATGGAAAGTCAGGGAAATTAATAACAAAACTTCTGTGGACACCCTGAGTTCAGTCCGCTCAGCTCAGGTCAGTCAGCTCAGTTCCGGCAGTTTTCCCACACACTACGTCAGTTCGGTCCGCTCAGTTCAGTCGTTTTTGAGTGCCAAAAGTCAGTGGGCGACAGACGCTGTCATTGTTCGCAAGTAAATTATGAATTTGTGTTGGGGTTTCCGTTAGTGCAATTATGAGGTCCAGCAGTAATGACGAAGAAATTACTGTTATAGCATTGGCACTAGGTGCAGAAGAGGATGATCACCTCCTTCATTGTAATATTGTAGTAATCCTTGTGTGACAGGTCATACAACAATTGATACGTTTGTACAAAAGAAATAAGTCTTTCATCGGAACTCATCTTTAATAAATAATCACAGTAGGCCTACTACGAACATGTGTCAGATCACCCGAATTCAGTTGCACAACACTGGCTGATGTACTGTGCACATGCACGGTGCCTTTGGTCCTTCCGTCGAAATCGCTCGCTAATCTAAAAGTGGCTGAGACGGACGGAGCGGACTGAACTGAACTGATGGAACGGACCCAGTGTGTGGCTCTACATTTGAATACAAGGTTCACGAAATTTGCGGAACCGACTGAACTGAGCAGACTCAGTGTGCCTTATGTGACATGCCTTATGTGAATTAGGGTGGTGTGACTCTGCATGGACTGTCTGGTAGTTACATGTTGGATTTCTGTAAACGTTGAATGAGAATTGGTAATTTTTCTTAGTTGCTGTTAAATCCAAAAAGTTTAGGGAGTTGTAATCAAGATTTGTGTACCTTAAAGTTTACTCATAATGGATCTCACTACTTTAATTAATTTTAATGCTGATAATAGTCGGTCAAATTGTCAGTATGTTACGGGCAAGAAGAGTAGTTCTCGAAAAAAGATGAAGACGGAGACGCCCATCAAAAAGGCCAACAGTTTTTAAACAATATAGAGGTCAGTGGATTGCCAAGACACAGATTGAACTTAAAAAAGGGACAGTGGTTTTATTGATGAGGACTATTACTATCAACTACTTCGTCAAACTATACATCAAAGGGTCTCATTATAGGCTCAAGGCTCCAATTGACCAGAATGGTTAACAACTTAATAATATTACGTTATGTCCTAACTTGACCAAGTGATTGGGGACATATTTTCATACCGAGGATAAAAATTGCCCCTCGGAAACAAACTTAGCTTTTAAAATGGAAAGATACCAACTCTCCTTGGCTTTACCATCAATATAGCTCTACAGTAGGGCAATCCTTAATATTCTGGACTTAATTAATGGACTGGGACGGGTGGCGTCGTCCTGTAATCCAGCTACTAGGAGGTCACGAATTGTGGATATTTATAGGGATGCTCTGTGGATGCGATGCTCCCTGGTGTGGATTATCCACGACTATCCACAGTACTATCCTGATAATTAGACCAATTCGTAAATTACAAGGAAAAAATGTGGTTCGGATTCCACTATAAACTGTAGGTCCCTTAGTTGCCATTAGCTGTATGGGCTATTAATTAACAGCTGTGTCTAAGGAACATGTCGGCCTTAGTCAACAAGATCGTGCCACTCATCCTTCACTCATATTTGGATCATAGATGCCGTCGCGTTAAAGTCGCTCCAACCCGGCAATGGGGTTCTTATGGAGCATCTCATACGGACGCTAATGCCGTCGGCGAGTCCGCGTTAGCCGGACGCTGAGTGCAGCCAACACGGACGGTCGCGCTAGCGATGCGGCGCACGTGACGCAGGACCCTGTCACGTTAGGTCCATGTCATACGAGCGCTATTGCCACCGCGCAGATGCCGTCGCGTTAAAGTCGCTCCAAACCGGCAATGGGGTTCTTATGGAGCATGTCATACGGACGCTAATGCCGTCGGCGTTAGCCGGACGCTGAGCGCAGCCAACGCTGACGGTCGCGCTAGCAATGCGGTGCACATGAGGCGGGACCCCGTCATACGGAGCGCCAGCGCCAGCGGGACGCATTTGCCGCATGAGCACTGTCAGAACAACTGGAACACCTTTGGAGTGATCATTACGATATTTATTTATTTAGTCGTCCAAAGAAGCAACCAACATTCGATAGTAACTAAAAATTGTATCTTCATACTTCCTGTGTACCTGGAACATCAGATGAAACTGTCCCGTCTTGGATGGTGTCCATCTTGAACATAATTTCCGCGACGGCAAATGCGCCCGGAAGACGCTACGTATGACAGGTATAAAAAGGAATAAAAGAATTTTATCACCTGTTTTAAGTACACGAGTTGTTTCTATGATATTAAATAGCATTAACAAGTTATAAGGTTTACCAACTAGCACTATTAATCAGCAGCGCTATAATTTTTTTGCATTTTTGAGAACATCTAATTTGAACCAACTAGCAACAAAAAGCTGTGTAAAATGACTTTTTCTATAATTTCTCCATTTAACAAAAGTTTAAAGTACCAAGAATCTTAAGAGTATATTTGAATATAGTATTTTATACACATTATTTCACAAAGTTTGAAATTTTATTTGTAACATTTTTTTTGAAAAATTAAATATGTTGTTTGCCCATGGCAGTCTCTCTTGACACTGTTTGTCTTATAAAATAAACCTTGGAAAACCCCTTTGTTTGACCCAACGTTTACGACAATCCAACGACTAACGGCTTGACACGTTCAGCTATCAGGTAATAAATAATCTTCTGCATTTCTTGAACATTTAACTTCTAAATTATTTGTTTGGATACAAAATATTCCTCTTTTGCTCCCAAGTGCTAAATTCTCTCCATTTAAAATTTATTCTTTCCCTCAAAACCGGTAACAGAATTTTACAAACAATTTCTTTGTTCGTGTAAAATTAGCGCATTATATCTACAATTACACGCCTATCAAACCTATCTTACATTATGGAGGACAGCCCTCTTGCTTTTTCCCAGGTGTTCTCAGTTTTTCATTAGGAGTTTTTTTACTAGCTTTCCTAATTTATTTAATAGTTTCCCATGTAACATTGCAATTGTTTGCATTTCTGTTTTTTTTTTTTTTCTATCGGCACTAATAACTTTTTGTCTTTACACTTATTATTGTAACATCACTCAATCATCTGTCTAATTAAATCCCTTTCTCCACAATGTTTAGTCGAACCTCTGTTTCTTATAGGAAACACAGCTTTAGTTTTTCCATAACGGCAAGCCACGTACAATTCAAAACAGAACCCACTGCGCAAGCATAAGATACAGGATACTGCACTGATAAAAACGACTTGACCACCCACTCACCAAAACAAATATATGAGTAATGATGTTTACAGATACATACAGTATATTGCGAGGTGAGGCACCCTCATGTTTAATGCCTGCAAATAGTGTGCGATTGATTACCTCCAAACACACCTTCATGTGGACCTTGCTCAAGGGACTTTTTAACTCTCGCGGACAATAGTAAATGTGTTTAGGCTTTCGATATTATTAAGAAAATGATACTTCAATTACCAATTGCCACGTCATGTTTGCCTTATCGATTGCGTTCTTTGCGTTTTATAACAAGTAAATCTTCTCAATTTAACAAATTGATAAAAGAATATAGGTTTTGCAATCCCCTTAATCCCAAGATTATAAGATACTAATCCCAGGATTTCATGGTATTAAAAACTTGCTGGGATCCCGGGTTGAGCTGAGCTGTTTCTATAGCCAGGATGATTAATTTATCAAAAGCCCAAAAGACAGTTGGCAGCTGTGCTCTGTTACCTTCAAAAGCTACTGACATTTGTAACAATCAAACCAGCTTATAATTGCTAGGCCATCAATAAAACCACTCAGCTTCCCAGCTACGTCTCTTTGCATAAGAAGTTGAGTTAAATGGTTATATTTTCCAAGTTGTATGAGTGTTCCTCTCAATCCAGTGAACCATGTTGCACTCTGGTTAACTCATAAAAGGCAACAGGAAGTAAATCACCAGTTACAGTATTAAAATAACTTTATTCAGTAAATATATTCATAATAAAACTATTATTAAGTCACTATACTATCGAAGGCTCGAACAATTCCAACATTCATAGATTTTTAGCACCTCTTTCTCAATTACTACAAGTTTAACAAATTGACAAATATCTACACAAATAGAACTGGAATGTATACGTAATACTAGTGGGTACACAGTTACTGGCGGTGGCGGATGTAACAGAGATTGTCGGATTACAGTTTCTACGGAAGATATAAAATAAATAATATAAATATAAAACAGTACGGGTACTGATAGTCTTTCACATAACCACGTATTTACACAGTGAGATGTTTACATGTGTCTTGTGTTGCCGAAGTTGATTCCGCTCTGGTTTGCTCCCTTGTTGCTGCCGTACTGTAGACTGATCACTCCTTGGCCAGCTTTCAATTGTTCCTCGGTGAAGTTGCGAACGTTCTTCTCTGCTTCCTTGGGTCCAATGCTGGGTTGTCCGTAGTTTGAGCCCTGCAAAGTTTTATTGTTTATTAGGATTATTTTGTACTTTTAAATTGACTGAAAAAAAAAACTACTGTAGGAAATGTTGATAACAGAACGTCACAAAGGAACTTCCCCAGCCCTGAGATGGAAGCGGTGTAACAGCTAATAGAAAATGTGATACCAGCTTTAAGTGCATTTCAGAGTGGCACCAGTTTCTTTTTCAATCAAGGTTTTTACAACGTTTTCATGCATAGTCTCTAAACTTTACTCTGAATGTTTGTGTAAAGGTTAATACTGTTAAAAGTTGATAATCCAACACTAGCAGTATTGCATTTTCCCCTTAATAAAAACTCTAATGCCTGTTCCCATAGACTTGTTCTAAACAATTATCTATAGACAGAGAAGTTGCTAAGGTATAAATAAGCCAGTGGCGATTGCAGGTGATAAAGACAGTACAGGTGGCCGAAATGGTACAAAATTGAACCATTTAGTGATGAAAAGTTAACGTATATTGCCTTACAACATATCTCTTGAGTATTGTATCCTTAAATCCGTTCAGGCACTATTTGAAAAAAAATAAAGAAACTGTCAATTGGATATGAATATAAGAAATGTTCAAGAACCGTACATTAGCTGACAGTCACAACTCATTTAGCACTGTGCATTACAGTGTGTGGAATTCTTAACAGGCGGATTATTGAGTGACAACGATAATCACCTCACTTATTAACATTTTCGTTAAACATTTAACAGTTCACTAGTTTCATAAACATTTATCTACACACAATTAATTGAAGATTTTGCGTGATATTTAAATTGATGGATTTTTTTTAATTGGTTGACATGTGTGATACAGATCCAATTTTACTAAAGGTTTTTCATTCATTTTAGACTCTTTTTCACTGTTGCACTCAAGGAAGCTTGCTTCGATCCCCGAGTTCCCTGTTTTGGTGACCACCAATCGCCAATGGCTTTGAGCTGCTACCCTCTAGCTAGGCCTAGCCTGAAGTAATGTGTAAAATGGTTCCAGGCTCTATAAGTAGTTGTTAGAGGACTCACCTTTCTGCCTAGTGACTGCAGACAGATGACTACAGAGTTGAGGTTTTGTCGCTCCCACAGGTCGACTGTCTGGAACGTCTCCTGCGCAGGGACGCCCATCTGTCGTGCCACCTCCAGGAAGTTGTTGATGTTCTCCATACACTTGAATGCCATTGTGCTGTTGTTTATCTTCTTTACGGAACCGGCTTTCATTATGTTGACCAATCTGAAACAAGGGTGATGAATTGTGAGAAATGTTAAGAGTATGGTAAACTGTCACAGCTTGTGTACATTGGTTCTTTGACTGAAGTGAATTACTTTTTATTGAATCAGGCCAAAGTTAGGGCCATGTGGCTTTTCTAACAACCGGGGTTACTGGTACAAAAAAAATAACATTTTAGGTGATTCATTATTTACATTTAAGCCGGGTTTTCCTAGGCGCGGAAGTGGAGAGCGGAGAGAGGAACGCGTAGAGCGAACTCCACCTGTCTTAGGTAATTTAATGTTACTGTTTTCCTAGAAGCAGAGCGGAACACCACGTTAATCTCTTTTCCGCTCTCCGCGTTCCTCTCTCCGCTCTCCGCTGCTGCGCCTAGGAAAACCCAGCTTTATAATTTTAAGAGCCCTACATGAACAGAGCAATTGGACAAGGCAAATAAAGAAAGTTCTCACACACACAAAATTAGCAGTAGCACTAAAAACAAAAGTACAATGACACACCAGCTCTGACCATCTGATCGACTTAGTTCATTATTGGTGATGGCAAGTTATGTTATTTAAAGCCCTTGTCACACGTGGGCTAACAGCTAGTTCTCACTGCAAAGTCCTGTCAGACTGAGCTAGGAACTACCGCTACAAGTCTGGTGTTGTGATTGGCACCGTGTGTGTAGCTAAAACATAAATAATGTCAATGTCACCTGTTGACATTAGACGATATGTTTTGTCTATGATCAGCCATTGTTGAAGTAAAGAAATTGAAATGTTAAAATGTAAACACTATGATTTTGTACCTACTACGAGCTTATAAGTTAACAAAAACAAATAAGCTTTTGTAGGCCTATCACATCACAAAAGTTGTACATGTTAACACTTACTCTCTATATATTACCAAAAATCACATTCACTTAGCTTTTAGAGGTGAGATGTATTTACAACGAAAAAATTATGAAAATACGTACCTAAAAATATGTTTTTTAAACATGAAGTTCAAAATTTAGATTTTGATTAATTTATTTAAATTAATCAATTAATTTAAATTTGTTCTCCTTATTGCAAGAACTACAACTAGAACGATACTATTGGCTCCAGTCAGACGCTGGAATGGTGCTAGAGACTTGGTGGTCACGAGACCAGCTAGTGACTTGTAACGAGTCAAATGGGTAGGGGGTAAAAATATAACGATCTAGACCACGAACATTAAACAGCTAAACATAAGCTGTTGAGTAAGCCTAGTCGCGACACTAAACTGACGTCGTACCTAACCTCCAATTCCAAGACCGCAGACGACGTTGGTGTCAGTTTGGTTGTTTGGCTGTTCGACTGCGTCTGAGGCCGGGCTACGGGAGAGAAGATGAGCAGCGAGGTCACCTTTGAGCGGTACGCGGCTGTAAGCCTGTTAAAGCTGCCATGCGCCTGCCTTCGCTGCCAGTTTTTTTTTTGTTTCGGTAACTCGTTGACCAATCAGGAATCGTTTTAACTTTCGTCTCGATTCTGAGACGAAGGTGAAGTAAGAAGAAGTTTTGTGAAGTTTTGTTCATTCGTATTCCCGGCTTTTGAAGGATTCGCTAATACGTCTTTTCGTCTTCGATTTGAAGAGTTTTGTTCTTTTTCGTTCGTCGCTTAAAAGTGCGCCTACATTAAGTTCGTGGTGCATCGAGTGTGCTAAAAGTGTTTTACAGTAGTATTACTTCGTTTGGTAAGTTGTGTAAAACTAAGACAACTTAGGTTTTTCTTTTGTCACTTGTGTTTCGGCAGAACTTTGTCGAAGTTCCTAGGCTAGGCCTGATTCGCAGACCTCGTCATACGCTTTAACCAACTCATTTAATTAAAGTATCGGAGTTGGTGACAGATCATTTCGATTAACGTTTCGTAATCCATATCTGGGACTTTCTTTTTAAATTCTTAAACCCCTTTATAAAGTTCCCGAACGCCCCGAAGTTGGCCCCAGCAGACAGGTTTCTGCTTGATAATTATTGCAGAAGTTTGCTTAAGTTGAACACGTGGGGAAGTTGAAGTTTTAGTTTTTCTTTTTTCGTATCAGCTCTTGAAGCAGTTTTATTTTTAGTTTCAGTTTTTCTCTCGTTTCGTGTCTCACTTGGACAACTTAAGCCAACTCGTTTTCTTGTCTAGTAAATTCAGACTCTGTGGGAGTTAGGCTAGGTTAGGCCTATCTTGTACTAACCTTGTTTGTTTCAGGTTGACGACGTAACTCCGTAGGTAAGCGGAGTGCCTACTTAGCTTACTTGTTGATTTGTTAAGTTAGCTAGTAGTGTGTCATTTAGATATTTGCCCACAGAGTCAAGTCAAAATTATTTATTTCCCCTCAAGCCCTAGGCTAGAGTGGTGATTTCGAGTAGGGTGTTTAGTAACCCGCAACGTTCGTCTCGAGCTCTGACAACCAGGGCTATCAAACTTAGGCTATCCGAATCACTATCGACTCCTGGGAAACTCCCCGCGACCAGACTAGGGCGAATCCTGGGATCCTCGTTTTGTTACCGGTGGCGTAATTTCCCACTTGTCGTCCGCCAGGAAAATTACGTCACAGACTCTTCAAGTGCATGAAATATTTAACTTTTTTTAAACCTTTTAGTGGCTGGAGGTACCAGCTCATGCAAGTGTTTCTAGCCGCTGGAGGATCAGTCACACGATGCTGGTTCTAGCTGCTTCTTACTAGCTGTGAAAACCCAGCTCTGTGTTACAGGGGCTTAAAAGTTTATCGGGGACAGAAAACATTTATACAAATTATAATAAAAAATGCCCCCAGTAGCTACTAATAATAACATCTGCTAAAATTAATGATTGGTCAGTGCAGCCAAAAACTGGGGACGTTATTCTAGGGATCTAATTTGATGGTTACTAAGTCCATTAGATTAACACAAACTTGTCTCCCTTTTTAAAATCATTAATCTTTGCATCACGGGGGCAAAATATTTTATTTTGTCTTTCATAATTTAAATGTTTGTTAATTTAGCCAACATAGCCTGGCTCTATGTGTAATTATCATGCATTCACCTTAACGCTCGTAACATTATTCGCACTACAAATTTATAACACATAAAGCAGATATAAAACACTTGTCATTGGCCTATTTGTAAAACAACTCACCTACACAACAGTTGGCCATCTCTTAATGTCTCGTAAAAGTTGTCTGCGTCTCCACTGATGTTGAAGTCTTCGTTTGTGATTGCTCTGATCCATTCTAAACATTCCTGTGCTAGTTCTTCACTGTACTTGCTGTTGATCTAAAACAAACATATTCACGTTGAAATATCGTGGTATAACATATCCTCAAGGGATTTCGAGAATTATTACTATCCGTGAATGCATCAAGGAATTGAAGTTAATAATTACAGTTTTTCCTAAAATTATGGTAAGGTTAAAATATAAAATACACAAAATATACACCCTTAATATATTTATTAATTGACCTAATGTATTTGTGAGTGTAAAGAAACCGGTTTTAGTTACCAGGGACCAAGTATAATTCTTTTGTCTATGGTAGCAGTTTTATAGACCATCAAACAGCACCATTATTTTATAGTATACTAGCAGCAAAATCTGACGTTGCCTAGGTCTAAATACCATGCACAATAAAAACACATAAGTCCTTAATCAAAATGTTTATTTTGTCTCCATTTGAAATCTTTTCAATTCCCTGTATTGTTCCCGTTGAATGTTGACTATGTTGGCAGCAAATTGTTCCAGTAGTACTCCATCCCGCACACAACCCATTGGTGAGCAATTCAGCTTATTAAAGGATCGCCTGGTAAAGTCAGTTGTTAGTTCTTGGAAAGCAGCATTTTACACTTATGTTTTTGGTTTATCATAGTATTTTGGTTTCGTCACTAAGCCGTAGACAGAGGATCCGTTGGTTTTCTGGTAAACCAAATGTTCATCACAGTAGTCACTCTTGGTAGGCCTGCCAAACCTCTCTGAATTTCACAGCAACTCCCGCCGTCATATTCCTTTCACTTGTCAGATCTGCCGATATACAGTGGGAGAAGGCCAGGCTCTCACATTTACTAAGATCACAACTCCATCCCGCACACAACCCATTGGTGAGCAAATCAGCTTATTAAAGGATCGCCTGGTAAAGTCAGTTGTTAGTTCTTGGAAAGCACATATAATTTAGCCAGCAGGGGCCGGCTCAGGGATGGCTACTACTGGAAAAAACACAGGCTGAGGAGGAGGAGGTAACGTAAATAATTTGCTTAATGTCCAATATACCCCAAATCCTACTACCAAACCGACCAGCACAAAAACGATAGAAAGACTCATTACTATAAATCAAATCAATTGGGGTATCAAAGCTGGATGATTCGTCTCTATGGATACATATTTAATTTTTATAGTTTGTGATGGTTCAAGTCTTTAATTAAAAATCTATATTTATAAATCAAGAAATATCTTATGGACTAACACAAATTCAGTAACAGATATTTGTGAAGTTCCTGTGGGAACGGATGTGAACTGGATGTCACAGCGATAAAACTACATTTCTAAGAGATATGGAAAATTCCACTTACAACTTGGTTTTTCATTTACAGAATAGAACACCAGGCGCACCACTTGACGGAGATCCATAATCAATCTTCTCGTTGTTCCTCTTCACTGCCTTTTCATAAGCAGGACACTTTCTTGACCCTGCATCGTGCTTCAAATCACCTCGATTTTCTCTTTTGCAGTTGGCACAACAGACTGCTTCTTTCTTTTTCTTATTAGGGCACTCCTTGTAGTCATGCTCACCAGCGCAGTATGGGCAGCTAGGCGTTGTCGCAGTACAATGCTTCGCTACGTGGCGGAACCTTTGGCACTTAAAGCATCTGGCTATGTCTACGTAGTCCTTAACCCTACAGCATTGCCATTCTACAAATATCTTGTCCTGCCTTCGCAGCCAGTTTCGTACTCTCACAGAGCACTCCACCACGATGTGATTCTTCTTCCCAGCTGATTTAACGTCTTTGTACTTATGTCGCACCTTAAACTCCTGAATGAATTGTCCCTGCTCAATTTCACTACCTTGCATATTTCTGTTGAAGACTTCTTCCTTAACCTCGTTTTCTGTCAGCTCAGCGTTCACGTCATAAATCATTATGACGGGTCTCTTCTTTTTGTCGGCTTCTCAACTTTTAAACCTGCATCCGCTAGAGATTTCTCTTTCATCAGATTGTCTATTCCTTCTTCGTTCTCTGCTTCCACGATTACTCCATTCCGAATGTTAACTATTCTTCTAACCTTTAATCCTATTTTCTGCGGTTTCACTAACCTCTTAAGAGTGCTTAGAACTTTGGCGCTCTCCTGGTTGTCACTCTTCACTGTTACAATCTTAGGCGGTGGAAGCACAAGGCCTTTCACGCCTGTGACCTTTGGCACCGTAACTCTTGGAACGGTTGGGGAATCCTTCTTCAGAGCTGCAGGATATCTTCTTCAGAGATCCTAGCTTACTCCACCTGCGCCTGATTCGATCTTATCCTTCAGATTTTCCATCTCATGCCGCACAGTTGAGCTCACAATCTTCAAAAACTTTTTTGTATTTCGTGGATTGGAATGAACCATAATTGTAGGAAATTTTATCACAAATCTTGAACATATTTGCGGAACCAAATCCATAACCTAGTCCAGCATTGGTAACAAATTATGCAAATGCGATGAGATGTGATGACATTGTTCAACCTAGCTACACGTGTACATCAAAGTAAAAACTGTGTACATTTTTTTTTAAATACCTGAATTTACATTAGTTCACCTACTTTACCAAAACCATAGACTCCGTAGTTAGTCTATTCCAAAACTTGAACACAGCTCTCATCCTCAACGTACTCATCTATGACACAATTTTTAACCCGATTATCAAAAACTGCTATACCAATAAATGAATCTCAGGTGTTCTTTCTTGAATTTAAAAATAAATGGTGATTGAAAGTAGGAAAAAAAGGCAAGTGCCAACCTTACAATATTTATAAGCTAACCCGATAAGAAATAGTTATATGTTCCTTTGAAATTGATAAGTCACACTTATTTCATAATTTAAAATTTTCTAAGAGCAATAAAACATAGATTTTTGAAAAAAACATTTCAAATGTATCATAAATTCATCATTTTGTTGAAACTATAAAAAACTTGCCATGCAGTGGAGAATCCATTTAACAATTTTAATATTAACAGCTGGTTCATTTAAAGTAGTGTAAAATTATCATATGGTGGAAATGTAAACAAAATTGCAGAGTGAACTTTAAAGGCCTCTGGGGCAGAGCCCCAAGGAAATTTAGATCGTTTCTCTTTTGAGGGCTCACCTACAGACCAATACCTTTCTTTAGACACCCCTACCAAGTTTCTACGCCCAGCCGTTCTCTCAAATTAGCTGTGACAAAAACCTCGTTTTCCTCCATAAGAATAACATGGGATGGGAATTTAAAGGCCACGGGGGCAGAGCCCCGAGGGAATTCTCCATGTTTCTCTTTTGATGGCTCATCTACAGACCAGGACCTTTCTTTAGACACCTCTACCGAGTTTCTACGCCCAGCCGTTCTCTCAAAATAGCTGTCACAAAGAAAAACAGTTTCAAATTAATATATAGACTTTTGTTCATGTTAAAGCATCTTTCACTATATGGGGAAAGGAATTCATATGATTGGTCTGTCATCTGACGGAAAGAGTCAATATTACTAAAATGACTGGTTCTATCTGTTTTGGGAAAATCATTCAGATCATATTTTGGATTGTATAAGTGAATCACCATCTTTGGTCATAAAAATCCTGAATTTTATCAGCGGGAGGCATATGAAATTTTTTTTATTTGATAAAAATATCTGATTCTCCAGAAAGCAGTAACATTCTTACTTCGATCCAAGCGATTTTAATTCCTTCTCTTGCCACATCGACCCATGTATTTAATCAACCTGTACTTACTTGCTAACTGATTAACTTATGGGGTAGTTTTGCAATGGCCATATCGATCACATAAAGCTGTGCATGTATTTCGTGGATGGAATGAACCATAATTGTAGGAAATTTGACCACAAATCTTGAACATTTGCGGAACCAAATCCATAACCTAGTCCAGCCTTGGTAACAAATTTTGCAAATGCGATAAAATGTGATGGCACTGTTGTGTTTCCGAATGTTTTGTATGTATGTAGTGAGGTTTAGATGCGTTGTTCGACCTAGCTAGATGTGTACTTCAAAGTAAAAACCCTGTACACATTTTTTTTAAATACCTGAATTGACATTAATTTACCTACTTCACCAAAACCATAGATGAAACATACTCCGTAGTTAGTCTATTACAAAACTTGAACACAGCTCTCATTCTTAACGTACCTATCTATGACACAATTTTCAACCCGATTATCGAAAACTTTTATACCAAAAAATGAATTTCTGGTCTTCTTTCTTGAATTCAATAATATTCTTGAACCTTACAATGTATATAAGCTAGCCCGATAAGGAATAATTTATGTTCCTTTAAAATTAGTAGGTTGCACAGATTTCATAATTTCAAATTTTTAAGAGCAATAAAGCATGGATCCTGAACAAAACATTTAAAACGTATCATAAATTCATCATTTTGTTGAAACTATAAAAAAACTTGCCATGCAGTGGAGAATCAATTAAAATCATAAATAACGAGCGGTTTGGCCCGTCCTACGTACGGGAATCGAGTAGTCTATTAAAACTGTATATGATTCAGAACAGCTAGTTTACAACTTGGTGGCCGATTCACACACACTGCTTTCATTACAGCAGCTACATACCACCTTCCACTGCATAGGCCTACTATCACTTACCTACCTTATTTTACCACCTTGGCCACTGAAACCTCTAAAATGATCCTGGCCTCCCGTTCTCTTCTATCCCTTGCCATTTCTAAGGAAGATACCAGTCTGAAGATGTCTTTCATTACTTGGTCTTCCAAGTGGTCTTCTACCTTGTAAGTTAGTACTCCTTGGAATACATTTTTAAAAGTTGAAGTATCTTCTCTCCGCCATGCAAAGCCTGCCCAGCCCATCCGAGATCTGAGACTTTTGGAATGTACCCCTTTATCAAGTTTCTGAATCATCAGTACTACTGGGATGGTTATGATATGGTATTAATCGATTTTGGTTTCTACTGACACCCTGCAGCTTACTGGTCAGTTTTCTGGAGACCTACTACACCAGTTGACATTTTCATGTGTACTGTATGCAGTCATACTTATATTCAAAAATCTAGAAAAAGATGTATCAACACGTAAACCACTTAT